GATGAGGTTTGTTCGTGTGCTAATAGTCTTGTAAGAATTCTATCGAATAATCCGTTTTCTCGATGATATTTACTTAAGATTCCGAATGTCATGTAAAGAGGAACTCGCCAATTGGGAACATCGATTTTGTTTCGAATCGTCTGGTAGATGACACCTTCCGATCGTTGGATGCCATTAGAATAGACAATATTTTTCGCGGCGAGATATTCTTGAAATGTTCGATGGATGAATCGAAAACTGTTATACCCGAATTCATTTAACAAGCCAACTTTGTATTTGAATATGTCGACAAGTTTTGACGTAGAGTCCTCCGCATCACTGAAAACCTTTTGTTTCTGAATAATATCTCTTAAATTACTCTCCGACAAACCATCGACTCGACTATGAAGGTATTCCGCGATATCTTGCAATATTGTCCATAGCATAGTCACAGTTAATCGAAGATCTTGATGAAGTGAAGAAGTGACCAATCGTTCGATCATTTTCTCAATTGCTTTGTCATACAAATCGATTCGCTTCTCCGGTAGTTTATCATCGTATTGATTATACACTGCAGCAATTACACTCGCTAACTGCGGATTAATTGCCAGTTGAAAAATATCTTTATTCTCTGTGATATCCGTATACAATTGACTGGCTAATGATTCATCGATGGCTTCTCCTCGGATACATTTCGTATACGAACTACAAAACATTTTCAACGCTTCATTCGACATGTCTTGAATGGTTAATCTTGGAATGTAGAAGTTAATCTCTTCGAAATAGTTCCCTTCAATTCGACTGGTAATAATCACACGATTCCCAATGGTTGGATCTTTAGTGTTATTGATTTCCTTTTGTTCATGAAGTGAATAAATCAATTTTCCAGATTTTACGTCGTAGTCAATACTTCGTTCTAATAGCATGTTGATCTCTTTCATCAAATCGGTTCGGTCAACATGAATCGGAACTTCATCTAGTCCTTCGAAGATAATTAGAACATTTCCATGTAATATATATTCAGTCATCAGCAATGAAAGATCTTCTCGTTCTTCTTCGGTAAACAACAACGAGTTCATCGTGCTGTTTTCTTGTAGAAATTGAAGTAAACTTCGTTTTTGTTGTTTGGAATTGTCTTTTATCTGATCAACATACTTCCATATGGGAATTAGTATCGGAATTTTCTCCTTCATGCTATGGTCATTCTTGTTGAAAAGCTTATTTGTCTTTCCTAAACATTGTTGAGCCATGTTTATCACCAACCATTTGGATATTGTGGTTTTTCCTGAACCCGGATGACCTAAAACAATAAAATGCTTGAATTCGTTGTATGCCTGTTGAATTTGATATTGTTTTGTTTCGGTGAAATTGTTGTTTCCAAGAATTTCTCGTTTCAAATGTGAGATTTTACGCATGATAGCACTCGCTTCATCTAGAGAAAAGATTTCTCGATTGCTGAGTAGAACATGTAGCCATTGATCGACCATGAGATCTCGATAGACGGCCTCCGGATTGAACGAATGTCGTTGAATAATCGCTTGAATTAATTTGCTTTTTTCGTTCGAGGTAAAAAATCCGTTGGATAAAACTTTTCGTTTGAATTCTTCGTTCATATCCAATGCTTTCATTGCTTTTATCGATGGATGTGTTGGATCAAATTTCAATTCGACGTACACACTTTCTAACGGAAGAGAAATATCGTTATTCGCAGAACCAAAGATCGAGACATGTCCGTACTCTTGAATCAGATAGTTCAAATATTTTTGACGAACGAGTTCTTGGCGAGTAGCAAATGGCAAGTTCTTCCGTTGAAATGTCGAAAACGACGAGAGACTTTTAGTAAATAGAATCAGGTCATCGAATGAGTTACCGTAAGGAATTTCTATGATATTTTCTAAGACGGAATATTTAATATTCGATCGCACGAGTTTGTAGATAGTGGGACAACGTGGTGCTGTGACATCAGATATCCATTGCAGAAGTTTGCAGAAACTTGGATCGAGTATACCGGTTCCATATCCAATGAATAGTAAAACTTTGCCTCGAGTAAGTGTTTTTAGTTTTACTTCGGCAAAATTATTCTCATGAAGTTCGTTATAGTCATCACTATTAAAGACGACTGTATCTGTATGTTGAAAATTACCGTGTACGTGTAGAATGTAGTCTTTTATGTCTATCGATGGATCTTCGTATTGATATCGACTCCATGTTAACGTACCTTTGTTGAGCAAATCCCCCAGAAGTGAATCATAGTTTGTTGTTAAGACTGGGCAGTTTAATCCTGCGATAGCTTTGATCATGTTAGGCTTTTGTGGGTGTAATTCTCCAAGCGTGCTTATCAGCCATTCTTCATACGCATTAGGATGCTTGCTAAGCCAATGCTTGATTTGATCAGCAATACTAAAATAATCATTCAGTTTTGTTATGTTAGCATCCAAGTTGCTCATTATATCCTGGAAGTTTGCATCATCGATTTCATTCAAGAGGTAACATTGTCTAAGTCCTTGTTGTAATAACCCTTTCCAGAAACAAACATTTTCATCGCCATTTGCTGTGTAAACTGATACATCCGAGCCGACGAACACCAGCACATTATTTGCAGCAATATCTTTCTTCAGCTTTTGAATCGCGTCCACCATGTTGCACAAATGTTTACTTAGAATTTCAACCGAACAAGTCCTTTTATTCGTGCGATTTGTCTATCGCAGAAAGTAAGTACATGTTCACATGTTGGAAAGAATTACGCATGACACAGTTGTTCCTAGGAAGAAAAACATTTTTCTTTCGTTCTGTTTATTAACGTCATATAATGTGGCTTTTTCCAACGACAACAAAAAAAAACTAGTTTCTTTTTCTAAATCCATACAAGAATATTACACGTGCATTTGGGATTTCGAATAACTACACATCCCATCGGCAAATGATCTTTTAACCAAAGTGTTCGTTTGTCTTCGTTCATCTCTGTATGTACGAACTGTTCATCTCGACATCGCACATTTAACATTCGAAGTTTCGACATGTTTTCGATCAATGAGATGATGCATTGACAATCTGCAACCAAAACTGATAATTTCTCACATTGTTCACCTAAAGGCGATTGACTTAATTTCAAACAATCTTGCTTGTCGAAGCAATAGCTCATATCAAGGAGATCAAGTTCACGAATTGATGCATTCGTGTATTTGAATAGCGATGTTGCTAAAATGGTTGGTTCTTGTTGGCAAACACTCAATCGATAGAGATTAGGTGTTCGCTTGAGTAATGCCTGTACTTGTGATCGAAACGTATGTGTATGTGACATGATTTTTAATGTTTGTAATCGATTTAAATTTGGAATTGCCGCCCAAAATCTTTCATCGATCGGAAGAGATATATGAAGTTCCTTTAATTTCGTAAAATATGCATTCGAAAACATCGTCGCACTGAGAATTTCTTGGGAGGGAATTTTAATTAGTGCATAATGGATGTCTCGTTCATCATCGTGTGGATCAGTTGATTTGAATGCTAGTGGAATATTCTCTTCAAATATTTTCGATATACTGTAAACATAGAACCGTCGAACTGATGTTAGGCAACGAATAAACCAACGGCGTTCATCGATCCAGAAAGGAGTTCGGTATGAGTTGAACAATGTCTGGAAACGAGCTACCAGATCTTGTTGTGGGGATAATATCATTTTCATTTTTAATTGAAGAGTTTCAAGTTTAGGTAAATGATTGGAAATGACCGTTTCCAAGTCATTACCATTAACAATTTCACATGATAAATCTATGGATAATCGTTGGAGATTGGGAAGATTTTCTAAAAAACGACTCATATTCGATGCATCGCACTTCACAACTGAATGAATATTCAAATTGGTCACAGTCGGAAGTGGCACTGGTTGGTATTGATTATCAACGAATGACAGTACAGATAGTGACAAGTGTTGAAGGTTCGGTGTGAATTCGAATAATTGATTGATTTGTTTCAGTTCGATCAGAAGTTTTTCGATTGATAAAGATTTGAGTGTCGATGAAATGATTGTTGGCGTGCAAAAGAGACATTGTCGTTTGACTGCAATTCCAAGTGTGCAATGGGTTAGTTTTTCTAACGACCAAATTTGATTGATGATCGATTGAAAATCAACACAATCATCTTGAAGGTAACAGTTGGAGAAAGTGAGTTGAGTTAAGTTTGAAAGTTGAAAGCATCCTTGGAGAATCTGTGTTAGTATTGCGTGCGAACGAAGATATGATATGGAAAGAGTTTTTAATTGGCTGAGTTCCTGAAATGATGATAGAGTTGAAAGAAATAGTTCGATTTGTCTGGGAGTTTCTTCACTATCGGAGAGATGAAAACTGCTGATGTATTTGGACATTGTTGGGAAGTAGGATCGACAGAGAATGTCGAAGTAGCGTTTTGATACTAAATGCAAATCGACGGTACAAGTGGGAAATCGTTCGTGAAGAACCATATTGATCCGAAAGTTGAGACCATAGAATATACGGAGAAGATCGATACCATTGAAATATTCGAAGATATCGAGTAAAATCTCGTTTGGTAACAATTCAAAGCTCATGATGGTTATCGTCTTTTCGTGCACGTTCTTTTTTTTGTAGTGTGTTATAAATCAACACGGTGTGTTGTGTAGAATCTTTTTTTTTCCTTTCTTCCAACAAAGATGACGTATTCGAATGACACATGCTGTTAAAAAGAGAATATAAAGTACGGCAGGGGAAGAGAAATCAAAATCGTTATTCATGGGAACTGTGACGTGCGTTCTGTTTTACTTTATTATAGTGCTTGTAAAAGCTTTTCTTTTCCAAATTGCAGTGTGGGATTCGTGCATCTTTCGTTCAAATTTTAGTACGAGATAGATCGTTTTTAAGGGTGGAACTCGGGCAAATACTATACAATCTCACAATTATGGTTCACCAGTAGAAAGTTGCTGTACGAGTACATAAGTAAACTAAGAATTTTTATTGTTCTTATTATGTGAATTTAAAAGAAAAATAAACTGAAAATGACTTTATTATTGATTAAAACTTGTTCACAATTGGATAAGTAGCCGCTGTAGCAATACCGCATTCATTGCGTTTATTACGAGTCATTCGAATATAACCTTTTTCACCCCACCCGTCACCCACACTGAAAAAGATCCAATCGATACATTCTATCCGAAATGAAAAATTACGAGCGTGATTTACCTGTTTTTAACAAGCCAGTAATCTTTGCCACTGTCGGTGCCATAGCCAACAACAAGAACGGCAAGATTTAGATGAATTTGTGAACAGAAGACTTCATGATAGACTAGGGAGAAAATCATTGGTAGTCGATGACATTCTCAATGGAACATCAAGTACATACCACCTCCTTTGTATAGTTGAAATGAGTTATGACTGGCATCAATGGCGACCGAAATAGGACCAATATTGGCAACAGCTTGTTGAAGTGCGCTTTCGTCCTTTGATGTGACGTTGTTGTAACTAGTTAGAGTTGCGCCAACACCTTCTGGTTTGAATCGACATCGATTGTCGTCATCTTCGTATGGGTAAGCATCTTCAGTGTCGATACCATTGTTGTCTTTGATGTATTGAAAAGCTTGATCGATTTCACCGCCAACACAGCCCATGTTACCTTGTTTACCTGAGCAATCGATTAGATTTTGTTCGGAAAGCACGACAAGTTTGCCGGTAGCATTGAAATGTTGACCTTCGAGCGCACCAGTTGCCGAAAATGCCCAATCACCCGTACATTGACCTTGATTTTTAATAGGAGTAACATAACCTTTATCACGCCAGTCTGAAAACGAATCAATAAAACTAGTATACGAGCACAACACTCATTTTCTACACATTACCGACAGTATCAGGTAATATCACGTTTTCATCTCGTTTATATCCTTGATGATCTTCACTTCGGATTGATTTCTTAGGACTGGTCATCAGTTTAGCGTATTCTGCACCAGTCTATAAACACTCACGTCCGTATTGTCGTAGACACGTCTAACGTAATCTTACCAAATCAGCGAATTTATTCATACCAAGCCAGAATGTGTAAACACCAAGATCAGCTTTTAGATTATGTTCTCGCACTTTTTTCAAATTGTCTTCCCATATATCACGGCTTGAAAAACGAACAAGAAGTGTTTATGTATGGTTTTCAAGAACTAAATCATCTCATACCGAACATGCTCTTCACCATGTGAATAGCGTTTGTTATGTGTTTGTTTCCATAAATTCCAATTTTGATCGAATGTCACATCGAATGCCAATGTGCCACTGACAATACACAATACAATTGCAAGAACCGATATAGTTTGCATCTATATCACAACAAACCTCGACGTGGTATAAGACTTTTATCTCTTGGATCTTTTTTACATACCTTCACTGCTTCTAACACACGAAACAAAAGAAAAAGATAGAGTGCAAGTCAACTTTTATTCCATACAAGATGTTTATACTTGAAGTTTATCTCACTTTACACGTGTTTTCTCTATCATTATCTTTGAGAATGAAAACATATTTCTTTGTCTACTGGTTAATTTCAAACAAAAGAAGATTGGTGATAACGAGCTGTTTTTTTTATTCAAAATGTAAACTACGACATTGAAAAAAAAGACGAAGTTCTATCTTTAGCAGCCAAAATCTTTTCGTTCAGACTAACCATCGACGACTAACACATGTTTGAGCAATAGGATAATAACATTGTCCGTTGCAAAGTTTCTGCCCGATCTTACACAGATGTCCGTCGATACAAGTATGCACACCGACATTGAAGTAACATTCACTGCCACATACACTTTGTCCAATCTTGCAAACATGTCCTTCAATACATTGCGAAGCCACTGGATAGTAACATCTGTTTCCGCATGGACTTTGACCGAAATTGCAGACTAAGGCAGATGTACTGTCGACGCAAATGTAAAGTAAAAGAGCGAGAATACTTAACTTGATCATGTCTGAAATGTTACAGTTATGCTTGTCTGTATATGCACAAGTATATATACATGTATTTGGGCGGATATTTGCATAAATAATTTATTCTCCAGGTAAACTTATTGGATTTATATGAATGAATAAGACATAAATGCTCTTGGTTTGAAAAGTAAATGTATGTTTGATTATACTTATTCATGTTATTTATTTCTATATAGTGTATCGTAAATGAAATATGTTATTCTTTTCGCGAATGATGATTAACTGTGGCATTTTCATAGTGTAATGTTTCTCTTGAAAAGTGCTTTGATGTAGAGTCGAAAGATTTCATCGAACAGTTTCAAAGTGATTTGAATATTCGTTTAAAGCATTCTGCGGTATAAAATACATATCCTTAAAATTTGAGAAATTTTTGAATACGTTGATTTCCTACATCGATAACGTACATAGTCAGTGAAGAATCAAACACGACTCCGTCAGGATTCACAAGTTGTGTTAAACTGTTACCACCTACGAATTCACCTGCCACCATGATACTCGTCTTATTGTTACGACAAAACATCTGTATTCGATGACTTCCATTACCAGCAACGTCTATATTTATAAAGCTATCAATTTTGATACCAATTGGATGGCATGAAAGTGTAGTATTCGATCCTTGCACACCTGGTATGCCTGCGACAAAAATTCCTTATGTGTCGTTTTCAGCCTATCTCAAAGTAGAATGACTATTTAAACTCATGGTATACATATAATTACTCACAGATGTAGCATAATGGATAGTCCATGAATAATTGGGCTGGGTAGTGGTATTACCAGCGCCATTTCCACCTACAGCAAGGGTCCCGTTAGCACCCGATGTTGAATTTGCTCTTAAACGTGTGACACGATTATTATCACATTCAGTGATATGAGCGATGAGGTATATGCCAAATAGAAGCCCATCTAAAACAGGCTTTAGGAGTGTATGGTTCAAAATCTTGACAGTTACGATTCTATCGATTTTGCAATAAAAATTAATATAGTAGAGAAGAAAATATATGTCGTCAGAGAATTCACACGGAATTTATCCAGTAACTCCTAACCATGTTACTTTAATGTCAAAGACAATGACTCTTCCATTCCTTTGTCATCTGTTTTCGGTCTCTATAATTCAATTACGCAACTAATTCAGTTTTTCTACAAACATAAAATATTGGCATGCTCTCATGACTAATCAAATATTTAATTCAGTTTGAAAAAATTATCTGTTAAGACTGTTCTGAAATCACTAAAACAGTGTTGCAAATATGATAATAAAATAAACACTCAGCAAATTCATAGAAATAATAGCAATGCTTTGCGATGCAGAATTAGTGTCCAAGATACCAAGCCAATTATCTTCAATTGCTTTTCTAACCGCTATCGCATTTTCAGGTGAATTGCATCCATCGATATCACATATGAAAAAAAGCATTTGTATTGTCTTGGTTATTGTATTCATTGATGATATTTCATTTATACGGTAAAAAATTTCAAGACGCTTTTCCTTTGGCTTACAATTGTAAATGGCAGTGTGATTCATGATGTCGTCCCATATATATTCGCACATGCCATCTTGACATCCGACTGTGCTATTCGGATCTTTATAACATTGTTGTACACTTGCCGAACTACCATTGTTATAGAGGTATGTATACAAATGAGAATACAAATTTTGTACTTGTTTAGTCGTTTCAAGATAATATGAAGCATATTTGGTAAAATAGTTGCTATTACAGTCATTATCAGTCATGCAAACATATCGCCAATTTACGTGTTTGTCACTTTGATCAGAAGTGAAACGAGCGGTTGCTTTCAGACTAGCATCAAAGACAACATCGGTGTCATTGTCACCATCAAAATTGATAATGCCCATATTTGTAACGTAATCTATACCAAAATTTATTGCACATGCTTTAGATTGAACATAAGATTCGCATTGTGATGGAATAACTAATGAACTATTCAAGGGAAATTCAAAAGAACAATCTTTGAGGCAACGTATCATTTTGCTCGAAGTTTCGGTGGCGAGTACAAGCGACTTTTGATGATGAAATGAATCAGTCTTTGGAGATATTGGTGACTTGTTCTCGACGGAAGCAAAACCAACAAGCATCCATACAAATATCGTTTTACACAGCATTTCAGTATAATAAAGTTCTTACGATGTTTGATAAACTACAAGCGCACTCCTGTACCTTATATGTGATACGTGACGCGTGTACGTGAATAATCTGTAAATATTATAGGCCTTGTACATAGATAAGAGTTTTTGTCTAACGTCGCAAGCATATCTCTGACGTATGCAAAAAGATGAAACGACGTAATCGTAATTACGTATGAAAAAAACAAACTAGTCTTTTCAGATTGCGCTTTCCTATCGGGTAGTAATCTTGAGAGTGGGTGAGGGTGTTTCATCATCGGCATATAGGATGTTCTGTGTATAGGCTGGAAGGAGAAACCGACTGATTACCCTCGATAAAACAGTTTTTCACTGTTACTCAATTTCGGAAAGTCAATAATTGATTACATTATATGTGAGGATAGCTTAGACGTTAAATAGTGAGAAACTCGAGTTCAAAATAGGTGTTCTGATTTCATCCGCATCCTCATTTTTTATTCGCTTTGTTTCTTATATTTATCACAATCAATAGAGCTGATAATCATTGAAGGCATTGAATTGGAAAAGTTATCAGTTAATATTTCTATGACAAAATTTAGTTTGTTAAAATTTGCGCGTAAGGAAGTTGTCTTCTTACACTGTGGAATGATCTGTAGCATCAAACTTTCCATTCCCAGCTGGTCTTCTGGATTTGTACCATTCCTCAGGTGATATTGGAGTTCCTATATCAGGACTAATGTACCATCCAAAATGATTATCGACCAAATAACCGACTTCCAGAAAGATATTTAATCTGTAATCCAGTTTCCGTACCTGTAACCTCGAATGCGCAATTCAGCATTTTGATTTTTCTCATCCTAGGCTTAGTTCTCGCTAGGGAGTTTGAATATAATCAAAATGAGTAGAAGTCTTATTCACAACGAAAGTTAAGCCAGTTCGATTAATTATTCTGATCATGAATCGTCGTCTCGCTTTATCAAAATCACTTGCCGTGGGGAAATTTTGCTATAAAACAATTCGAAGCGTCAAGTGCCGCTATATCAGATTCGCTTGTAGCAATATTCGTAGCCATTAATTCTAGAAAAAAGAAGTTGTTTCAGTACCAAATTTCAGTTGTATTCGCTAGAAACTGTGAAACCCAAAAGAGCGATTCTTCGAATATAAATCTAGTCGAAACGTTAACAGATATCGAAGCCAAATTTTTAACTATGTATATTTGAGAAGTCAGTTTTAGATTTTATAGTCTTTGCTATATTAAAGAAAATTTCAGTATTAAAACAATTGTTGTTAGAATATAACTATCATAGAGTTTTAATATTTACCGAAATGTTATTGCTTTATATGTGCATCTTCATTTGACTTCTCATCAGTTGTGAAATAACTGATAAACGAACGACAAGAAAATGCTGTCGTTATCCGTCGAGTATCAACTCAAAATACGACTCTGTGGTACATCATTATGAGAACTACGATACAAGACAAAAAAAAAACAATCTGAAATGTTAAATTGTTAAACGAGTTCAAGAACGAGTTGCCGACAAAAGAAACTTTGATTACAGATAACCTATTTTATAATAAAGCAGAATGTTGAGTGAGTGTGCGTGAGAGATAAACTGTACCTATTAGTATCTCTTTGAATGTATGAAAGAGTGAGTGTTGGTGTAGGCATAGAGTACGGAAATGGAGGTGAGCTTTGACAACTATGATTATGTGTCAAATCTATCTTTACCTACAACCATACCCATACCTGCACCCTCAAGATGGTTAAGATTCTTGAGTCGACACTCTTGACGTTTCAAAAGTTTTCGGATAAGATCAATCATAAACGAAAAAGATCTCTAGCGAGAAATTCTACCGAAAGGAATCCATTGATTTGTTCCAACGGAGTTTTGATTTAAAAATGTTCATTCAGAGTATATACATTTGTTTTAATCTCCAGTCGAGGGTTAAGCGAGTATGCCTCGACGAGCGTTAGTAGTTATAATAATATTTTTTCTTCTGCATCATTCTTTTTGCCTTCGATAAAAAAAAACGCACTAACATCGACTGTTTTTTTCATCAAGATTAACTTTTCTTTCTTGAGATGACCTTGTTAATATGGAATTATTTCTCCTAGCAACGAATCTAATCACTACCAATATTCAATGATTACAACATCCAATTGGTTTTCTTTTCATAATAATACATGTTGTTATTCGTGAAATTGCTTTGCATGCATCAACATATTATTATATGGTATTACTACCTTTTACGGATGTTTTTGGTTGAATCAATCGCTATGCCATTTGTATTTCGAATGAATGATGAATAACATTGGCTATTTTCACGACATTTAAAATTTCTATATGAGTTTTGGCATTCAGTGAATATTTGTATTTGTACAGGATCGATTTTTTTCTGTCTGTGCAATTGGATTAGATTGCTATATGGCAATTACAAAACTAATTGAATATGAAAATTTATTTTTATGAAGAAAAATGTTTTATGCATTATTCAATATACGAATAAGTTCGACAATCCTTGTAATTTCAGCTGTAACTTTATTTGAACCATGTCAAACGATTTCTCATATGTAAAGAAAGATATTTAAATCTAGTCAAACTAATTGTTTATTTTAACCTACGCATCTTTCATTATTGTAAGTGCAACACTGCATGAAATTTACTCAAGTGATTTCATCGACATCGAACGGTGCGAGTATCTATTTAATGATCCGATATGACGGATTATTCCAACGTTGATATTCATTCTTGTGGTACTACTTATTTCTCATTTCTTTCGACTTCACGTCAACTATCGGAGACAACGATAGCGAAAAATACTGAGCAATTCCTCAGTAGAACGTTTATTAACACACATGCCATACCAAGATCGGGGTTCTATTTTCAAGTGGACAGTATTATATCGCAATTCCCAAAACTGATCACACAACGGTTCTCTCAAACGCTCAGCTTGTTACGTGATGTTCTGAATAGCAATGTTCTCGGTTCGTCCTACTTTCTCAATTTGGATTGGCAAATTTATGTGAATAGAACGTGCATAACAATTCCGGTTCGTTTGGAAGCCGAAGTGATTTCGTTGAATCAGGAAGAATAGTTTATGATGTAACGATTATTCAGAAATTTTTGCTATCTGGATGGAATATTTTTATAGTCAAACATATATTGATCGGTTATTATTCGATGAACAACGATGACGTCAGTATATCGTAATCGAATGAATATATCAGTCTTGAATTTTTCCATAGCAAGTCGTTTTCGACGAGATACAGTTATTCAAACTTTAGTAGATGAATTATTTATTGAAATGTAGATGATTAGCCGGTAGTATTCATCATTTTATAGGAAATGTGCTCCTATCTAATATTCGCACACCATCTGTAAGGATGATTGTTATATGCAGAGTATATCGCGGGTGTTTGGTTTATATAGAGAATTGACAATATCAATGCAGTGGTTTGTTTCACTTTTGATGAAGCCAATGCTAAAAATTCGTGTTCGTTGTCGACGAAATCTTGTTGGACTGTTCAATTAAACTAACATGACAAATAAAAAGATCTTTTTGAACGTTCAGTACTACTCTTGCTTACTGCTTCAAAATAAAAGTTGAATGCTTTCTTTCTCATCATTAAAACATATAATCTCAACTATAAGTACATGCTCGCACTTTATAGTTTTGGATATTATTAGGAAAAAGCTGCGTGTTCTTTTCTTTTAATGTATCACGCGCATACACATCTTCTATTATTCTTTTCAATTCCTATTCCTCTTCTGTAAATCTGCAATTACTGTAATGAGAATATTAAATAATTCAAAGACCAATAGAATTCATACCAATGATTAATAAGTAAGAACTTTCTTAATCTATTTACACCGCCAATTATCTAATTAAAAAATAATTTTTTAACAACAGATCAATGGTATCACCACGCTGAAATTATTTAAAACATCGCCTATTATTATCCTTGAGCGAGTATCTTAGATGGTATACAGATTATCGTGTGACCTAAAACAAAGCACATACTAAGAAACATATTATTAGACTCGTTAACACATAATAAGCAAAAAAAATGGATGATATTTTCTTACAGAACATCCGGAAAACTATATATTTTACTCTTGATGTATTCTTTTGAATGAAACTATAAATTAACGATGAACTAACGGTCTCTCATTCAAAATCAAATCTTTCCTTCACCGAACAGAAATCTATTCGGCTTCCATTTATGTCGAGTAATACAACGGCCAATACCATTTCAAGTGGCCGACTCATTGTCGCTTATTATCCATTTTCATTGATTATTGTTGGTACAATTTTAAACCTGACAACGTTGTTCATTCTTTTTCGGCCTGTCTTTCGAGATACAACAAGACAACCGGTTGTTTATTACATGCGTACGATCGCTGTGTTTGATATTCTGATGCTATATGGCTGGAATCTTGATCATTATTTGGACATCGTACATGGGTTTATACTTTTAACGTATACAATACCGACGTGCAAAATTTTTGGATTTTTGAATTATTTCGCTGGACAATCATCAGCATGGCTTCGCGTATTCGTCTGTTTAGATCGATACTTAGCAGTAAGTCGCCTTCATCGCACATGGTTCAACCGCCGAAAAGGTGTTTCAATCATTATCAGTACAATCATCACGGTTATAACCTTGTTCAATCTACACTTTTTCATCTTTGCTTGTTTCCATCGATCCAATGGTACGATTAATCCCAATGCTCAACTCTACCGCATTTATCCTCTCTGGGATTATATCAATTTAGGTGTATACAATTGTGCACCATTTATATTCATGGTTACACTCAACACAAGCGTTATTTATCATTTGCTACAGCGTCGTCAAATGCAAATCATTCAAAATTCACGTATTCAACACCGAACAATATCAATTACATTGGTAATAACAACATTTCTCTTTTTAATTATGACTATTCCAGCTACGATTGTTGCTGCATTTTTCTTCACCACTCCAACGACAACACTAGCGAAAGTACTCGATTCCACACTTTATACTTACCATGCATTGTCCTTTATCATCTATTTCATAACATTTAAAGAATTTCGACAAGAATGTTTGATTTTGTTTGGTTGTTACAATTACAATGTTCGTAGAAGAATCGAACCGACAACAAAGCAGAGATATTGAATGGATCTTATACAGAACATTTATTAACCACTTGTATATATCTCGAAAGAATATCGAATAAATTACTTTTCAATAACTGCCTTCATTTTTTTCCGCATAATATCACAGCATTAAGATTGTGATGAAATGAGATTTCATCTTGACATATTCGCATCGACATCGTACGGGAAAAAATGTCCTTTGGGAATGAAAACCAGGCACTGAAGAAAGCACATATTTCAAGAACAGGAAACAAAACTCTCATATGATTCAAATCATAAACATGTAATTATTTTGATATTTCTAATATCGTATGATTATTTTACTTGAAAAGGAAGAGAAGTACTGGAGATGTTCTTTAAATAAACATCTTTTTTCTCTTTTTCAGAACCGATATTCCAGAAAAGTAGGGTTGATATGAATGTATGTTAAGGTGACATCGATAATACCATGCGAGAAAAACTAGATCTATTTCTTTGCTAGATTTTTACATTATCCCATAATTCTGTTGAGAATTTTATGAATGATCCACAAATACCAACGACGATAACGATAACGTATGTATGAGTAGATCAATATCGTCGATAACTTTGTTTTTATAATTGAAATTTTCAGTCCTGCACAGCAGAATCGTCATAATAAAACTCGAGTATATGCTCTTCGGTGTATCGTGGGTGCATGGTTAGTTGGTTTAATCATGCTAATACCTATCATTATGGTTCGCGATAAAATAACATCGTCAGATGCAAAAATAATCATAAATGGTATGTTCAGTCTATCTCTTTGAGTAAGATCAACGTGTTTGTTCATGCGATCATCCAAGGAACGACAACGGTGAATTCTTATATTTCAACAACAGGCACTCCTATCGTCAGTACGAGTAACAATTCAGTTACATCGATGACTAATAATACCAATGTAACTATCAACCCTCCAGGTAGATAAATTTGACCGAACGGGATAGATTTGTATTTTCATTTATTTAGTTCGAAAATGTCAAAACTTAACTTTTACTTCGTATATGTCATATGCAACTGGGACTAAACCGTGGTCCGTAGCTGCTGGTCACCTGAATGGTGATAATTATACAGATTTGATTGTTGCTAATCGTAATAGTTATACGGTTGGTATCTACTTTAATAATGGCGATGGAACATTTCAAAATCAAAAACTTGTAATTAACGGTTCACTACCACAATATGTTATTGCCAAAGACGTCAACGATGATCAGAATATAGATATTCTAATTGCTGAGAGCGCATCTAACGCAATAGGTGTTTCCTTGGGAAATGGTTACGGTGGCTTTACTGCTGAAGTTGACTATTCCGTGGGTATGTATCCATACTGGATCGATACTGGCGACTTGAATGGCGATCAGAACGTTGATCTTGTCATCGTTAATGACTATAATTCTAACGTCGATGTCTTGCTTGGCGATGGTCATGGACGTTTCGATACCGGATATACTTATTCTACTGCTCAATATCCGGTCGCCGTAGCTATCAGTGATTTTAATCATGATGCAAATTTAGATTTTGTAATTACTGAGTATTCTAGTAATACGATTAGTTTATTTCTTGGATATGGTAACGCAACGTTTCGAACACGGAGACGATTCTCCACGGGCAATTCACCATGGGGAATAGCCATTGCAGATTTCAATCGCGACACACATATAGATGTAGTAGTAGCGAATTATGATGATGCAACAATCAGCGTCTTAATGAGCAATGGAAATGGAACATTTCAACCTCAAGTTGTTTATGCTACTGGTGAATTACCAATNCTAGTATACGAGCACAACACTCATTTTCTACACATTACCAACAGTATCAGGTAATATCACGTTTTCATCTCGTTTATATCCTTGATGATCTTCACTTCGGATTGATTTCTTAGGACTGGTCATCAGTTTAGCGTATTCTGCACCAGTCTATAAACACTCACGTCCATATTGTCGTAGACACATCTAACGTAATCTTACCAAATCAGCGAATGTATTCATGCCAAGCCAGAATGTGTAAACACCAAGATCAGCTTTCAGATTATGTTCTCGCACTTTTTTCAAATTATCTTCCCAGATATCACGACTTGAAAAACGAACAAGAAGTGTTTATGTATCGTTTCCAAGAACTAAATCAACTCATACCGAACATGCTCTTCATCATGTGAATAGCGTTTGTTATGTGTTTGTTTCCATAAATTCCAGTTTTGATCGAGTGTCACGTCGAATGACAATGTGCCACTGACAATACACAATACAATTGCAAGAATCGATATAGTTTGCATCTATATCACAACAAACCTCGACGTAGTATGAGACTTTTATCTCTTGGATCTTTTTTACATACCTTCGTTGCTTCTAACACACGAAACAAAAGAAAAAGATAGAGTGCAAGTCAGCTTTTATTCCATACAAGATGTTTATACTTGAAGTTTATCTCACTTTACACGTGTTTTCTCTATCATTATCTTTGAGAATGAAAGCATATTTCTTTGTCAACTGGTTAATTTCAAACAAAAGAAGATTTGTGATAAAGAGCTGTTTTTTATTCAAAAATGTAAACTACGACAATGGAAAAAAAAGACGAAGTTCTATCTTTAGCAGCGAAAATCTCTTCGTTCAGACTAACCATCGACGACTAACACATGTTTGAGCAATAGGATAGTAACATTGTCCGTTGCAAAGTTTCTGCCCGATCTTACACAGATGTCCGTCGATACAAGTATGCACACCGACATTGAAGTAACATTCACTGCCACATACACTTTGTCCAATCTTGCAAACATGCCCTTCAATACATTGCGAAGCCACTGGATAGTAACATTTGTTTCCGCATGGGCTTTGACCGAAATTGCAGACTAAGGCAGATGTACTGTCGACACAAATGAGAAGTAAAAGAGCGAAAATACATAACTTCATCATGTCTTAAATGTTATACAGTTATGTTTGTCTGTATATGCACAAGTATATATACATGCATTTGGGCGGATATTTGCATAAGTAATTTATTCTCCAGGTAAATTTATTGGATTTATATGAATGAATAAGACATAAATGCTCTTGGTTTGAAAAGTAAATGTATGTTTGATTATACTTATTCATGTTATTTATTTCTATACAGTGTATCATAAATGAAATATGTTATTCTTTTTGCGAATGATGATTAATTGTGGCATTTTCATAGTATAATACTTCTCTTGCAAAGTACTTTGATGCAGAGTCTAAAAATTTCATAGAACAGCTTCAAAGTGATTAGAATATTTGTTTACAGCATTCTGCGATATAAAATACATATCCTTGAAATTTGAGAAATTTTTGATTACGTTGATTTCCTACATCTGTACCGTATATATTCATTGAAGAATCAAACACGACTCCGCCAGGATTGATAAGTTGTGTTAAACTGTTACCACCTACGAATTCACCTGCCACCATGATACTCGTCTTATTGTTACGACAAAACTTCATTATGTGTCGTTTTCAGCCTATTTCAAAGTAGAATGGCTATTTAAGTTCATGATATACATATAATTACTCATAGACGTAGCATAATGGATAGCCCATGAATAATTCGGCTGGGTAGTGGTATCACCAGCGCCATTCCCACCGACAACAAAGGTCCCGTTAGCACCCGATGTTGAATTTGTTCTTAAACGTGTGACACGATTATTATCACATTTAATGATTTGAGCAATGAGGTATATACCAAATATTAGGAGTGTATGGTTCAGAATCTTGACAGTTGCGATTCTATCGATTTTGCAATAAAAAATAGTATAGCAGAAAAGAAAATATATATCGTCGGAGAATTCATACGGAATTCACCCAGTAACTTCAAACAATGTTACTTTAATGTCAAAGACAATGATTCTTCCATTCCTGTGTCATCTATTCTCGGTCTCTATAATTCAATTACGCAACTAATTCAGTTTTTCTACAAACACAAAATATTGGCATGCTCTCATGACTAATCAAATATTTAATTCAGTTTGAAAAATTTATTTGTTAAGACTGTTCTGAAATCATAAAAACAGTGTTACAAATATGATAATAAAATAAACGCTCAGCAAATTCATAGAAATAATAGCAATGCTTTGCGATGCAGAATTAGTATCCAATATACCAAACCAATTATCTTCAATTGCTTTTCTAACCGATATCGCATTTTCAGGTGAATTGCATCCATCGAGATCACATTTAAAATCAAGCATTTGTATTGTCTTGGTTATTATATTCATTGATGATATTTCATTTATACGGTAAAAAACATCTAGAAGCTTTTCCTTGGGCTTACAATTGTAAATGGCAGTTTGATTCATGATTTCGTCCCATGTATATTCGCACATGCCATTTTGACATTCGACTGTTCTATTCGGAGCTTTGTAACATTGTTGTACACTTGCCGAACTACCATTGTTATAGAGCAATGTAGACAACTGAGAATACAAATTTTGTACTTGTTTAGTCGTTTCAAGATAAAATGAAGCATATTTGGTAAAATAGTTGCTATTACAGTCATTATCAGTCGTGCAAACATATAGCCAATTTACGTGTTTGTCACTTTGTTCAGAAGTGAAACGAGCGGTTGCTTTCAGACTAGCATCAAAGACAACATCGGTGTCATTGTCACCACTAAAATTGATAATGCCCATATTTGTAACGTAATCTATACTAAAATTTATTACGCATGTTTTAGCTTGAACATAAGATTCGCATTGTGATGGAATAACCAATGAACTATTCAAGGGAAATTCAAAAGAACGACATTTGAGGCAACGTATCATTTTGCTCGAAGTTTCGGTGGCGAGTACAAGCGACTTTTGATGATGAAATGAATCAGTCTTTGGAGATATTGGTGGTTTGTTCTCGACGAAAGTAAAACCAACAATCATCCATACAAATATCGTTTTACACAACATTTCAGTATAATAAAGCTCTTCCGATGTTTGATAAACTGCAAGCGCACTCCGGTACCTTATATGTGATACGTGACGCGTGTACGCGTGAATAATATGTAAATATTACAGGCCTTGTATATAGATAAGAGTTTTTGTCTATCGTCGCAAGCATGTCTCTGACGTATGCAAAAAGATCAAACGACGTAATCGTAATTACGTATGAAAAACACAAACTAGTCTTTTCAGATTGCGCTTTCCTATTGGGTAGTAATCTTGAGGATGGGCGAGGGTGTTTCACCATCGGCATATAGGACGTTCTATGCAGGCTGGAAGGAGAAACCATCTTGAGGATGAGAATAAGAGTATAAATAGTAGGAAAATACCCATACTCTCACATTCAAAATTGTGCAAAAAACTAATATTTTCTTGCGTTTTATTCAGTATGATAATATTTTTTTCTTGATTGATATCATTTGTAATAAATCAAACGTTTAATGAGTCGATTCTCGGTTTTCTCCTAATATCCAGGTTGTATCAACAGTCTGCGCAGCCAGCTGATCGAATCCTTGATTGAAACGATTGGTAGATGAATTTAGTAAGCATTCCTGACGGAAATAAAAATTAGTTATATTTTTCTATTCAATATACGTCAACGCGCACTTGCGGTAGAATATTCATGGTAGGTATGGACGTACGGTTTGATTCATATCTCGCGACAATGCTGTAGTTTCATGTACACTGTCTTGCAATCTGCTTATCTAAACAATTCTCTGCTGATTCCTTTCGTTTTCGGAAGAGATAAAATGAGTATTATAGTTGAAATAATTTGTAACGAAAAGAATCTTTTGATTTTTCAAGTACTTGTATCTATTTTTGTTGATAAATAACGCAAAGAATAATACTTAACGATATATGAAGAAAAGTAAGATTTTACCGCATTGCCTCGACTTTGTTTTTCTTCTTGTGTTCTTGAGTATTTATTCGATGATTCTCCCTTCACTATCTCTGATGGTACTTTCGTCAATATTAGTTGCGGATTCTAACAAAAGAATGACGCAAATAATAGTAAAATATGAACAAGAAAATTGTCTCGGTTGAAAGGAGGGTCATATGAAAAAAATAGTTTGTGTCCAGGATCAAAGGTCAAAAAACGCTTTTTCTCCGAAAAATGCTCAAAACATCATAAAACATGGTTTGGAAGAGATTTTAGGGTTAGTTAAGGGGAATTAGATCAAGAGAACACTGAACTAGTGGGGATGACAAGGACGTGCTAGAACGGTCTGTGCTGCCCCAAACGGAACACTCTGGCGCGACCTCTACACTGAACCATAGGATCAAAGGTGAAAGAAAGATTCTTTCCCTGCCTGCAGAGTAGGCGGTACGAAAAAGGATGGATTGAGTAGAGGTGGAATGCAATGGTACTACTTGAATGATTGATACTCAAGGAATTATGGTTACGATTCTTGAGTCGACATTCTTGACGTTTCAAAAGTTTTCGGATAAGATCAATCATAAACGAAAAAGATCTCTACCGAGAAATTCTACCAAAAGGAATCCATTGATTTGTTCCAACGAAGTTTTTATTCAAAAAAAGTTCATTCGGAGTGTAAAAGTTTTTCAGTTGAAACAGCTAGTATATACATTTTTTTAATCTCCATTCGCGGGTTAAACGAGTGTGACTCGACGAACGTTACTAGTTATAATAACGCGTTTTCTTCTCTGTATTATTCTTTTTGCCTTCGATCAAAAAAACGCACTAACATCGACTGTTTTTTTCATCAAAATTAACTTTTCTTTCTTCAGGTGCCCTTGTTAATATGAAATTATTTCCCCCAGCAGCGACTCTAATCACTACCAATATTCAATGATCATCAAGATCCAATTGGTTTTCTTTTCATAATAATACATGTGGTTATTCGTGGAATTGCTTTACATACGTCAACATATTAGTATATGGTATTACTAGCTTTTACGGATGTTTTCGGTTGAATCAATCGCTATGCCATCTGTATTTCGAATGAATGACATCGGCTATTCCTACGACATTTAAAATTTCTATGCGAGTTTTGGCATTCAGTGAATATTTGTACTTGTACAGCATCGATTTTTTCGTGCCTCTGCAATTGGATTAGTTCGCTATATGGCAATTACAAAACCAATTGAATATGGGAATTTATTTTTATGAAGAAAACTGTTTTATACATTATGCAATATACGAATAAGTTCGATAACCCTTGTAATCTCAGCTGTAACTTTGTTTGAAACATGTCAAACGATTTCTCGTATGTTAAGAAAGATATTTAAATCTAGTTAAACCAATTGTTTATATTAACCTACGAATCTTTCATTATTATAAGTGCAACACTGCATGAAATTTACTCAAATGATTCCATCGACATCGAATGGTGCGAGTATCTATTTAATGATCCGATGTGGGGGATTATTCCAACGTTGATATTCATAGATGTCATAATGCCGTTACGACGGGTATCGTCAGCCGAACGTCACGATACGCTCACCCTGATCAACGAAAAAACATGCGTATCGACATCACCGTATCCTATCCATGGGTAATCACTTCAATACGCCAGCAAAAACACCACAAGACGTCGGCTGGGTTCACGCATTTGGTTGTCATAATATAATGGAAAATATTGCATGATAACGTTAGTAATTATAAGTTAATAGAATAATCGGTCATAAAATATTAGTTCATATATTTTAAATATTCAAAGTATCCGAAGGAAATCATAACATTCTTTCATTATATTTCTATGTACGCAACCATTACATCCTCTCAATTCCTCAGCTTTTCAAATAGATCGAGACGTGCGTATCGTGATGGATACGATAAACCCACTCAATTCCTCAGCTTTTCAAATAGATCGAGACGTGCGTATCGTGGTGGATAAGACAAATCCACTCAATTCCTCAGCTTTTCAAATAGATCGAGATGTGCGTAGCGTGATAAATGACGGAGAGGAACGTAGTATGGTATTGGAACAAATATGATGGAATTTGATGAATACCTGTCGTATCGATATTATGACATCACTCAAAAATACAGAGCAATTCCTGAGTAGAACGTTCATTAACACAGATGCCATACCAAGATCGGAGTTCTATTTTCAAGTGGACAGTATTATATCGCAATTCCCAAAACTGATCACACAACGATTCTATCGAACGCTCAGCTTGCTACGTGATGTTCTGAATAGCAATGCTCTCGATTCGTCTTACTTTCTCAATTGGGATTGGCAGATTGATGTGAATAGAACGCGCATAACAACTCCGGTTCGTCCGGAAGCCGAAGTGATTTCGTTGAATCAGGAAGAATAGTTTATGATGTAACGATTATTCAGACATTTTTGCACTCTGGATGGAATGTTTTTATAGTCAAACATATATTGATCGGTTATTATTCCATGCGACAACGGTGACGTCAGTATATCGTAATCGAATGAATATATCAGCCTTGCATTTTTCCATAGCAAGTCGTTTTCGGCGAGATACAGTTATTCAAAGTTTAGTATATGAATTATTTATTGAAATGTGGACGATTAGCCGGTAGTATTCATCATTTTATAGGAAATGTGCTCCTATCTAATATTCACACACCATCTGTAAGAATGATTGTTATATGCACAGCATATCGCGAGTGCTTGGTTTATATAGATAATTGACAATATCAATGCAGTGGATTGTTTCACTTCCGATGAAGCTAATGCTAAAAATTCGTGTCCTCTGTCGACGGAATCGTGTTAGACCGTTCAACTGAACTTTCATGACAAATAGAAAGATGTTTCTGAACGTTCAGTATTACTTTTGCTTACTGCTTTAAAGCAAAAATCGACTGCTCCGTTTCTCATCACTAAAGCATAAACTCAACTATAAGTACATATCCGCAGTTTACAGCTTTGGATATTATTAGGAAAAGGCTGCGTGTTCTCTTCTTCTAATTTATCACACGCATATACATCTTTTATTATCTTTTTTTCAATTCCTATTCATCTTCTATAAATCCGCAATTACTATAATGAGGATATCAAATAATTCAAAGACCAGTAGAATTCATACCATATGGTTAATAAGTAAGATCTTTCTTAATATATTTACACCGTCAATTATCTAGTTATAAAATAATTTTTTCAACAATAAATCAATGCTATCGCCACACTGAAATTATTTAAAAGCATCGTCTATTATTATCCTTCAGCGAACATTTAGATGGTACGCTGGTTATCGTGTGGCATAAAACAAAGCCCATACTAAGCAACATATTATTAGACTCGTTAACATTTAATAAGCGAAAAAAACGCGTGATACTTTTTTACAGAACATCCTGAAAACTATATATTTTACTCTTCATGTGCTCCCTTGAATGAAACTATAAATTATCGATGAACTAACGGTCTCTCATTCAAAACCAAATTTTTTCTTCACTAAACAGAAACCTATTCGATTTGCATTTATGTCGAGCAATACAACGACCAATGCCATTTCAAGTGGCCGACTCATTGTTGCTTATTATCCATTTTCATTGATTATTGTTGGTACAATTTTAAATCTGGCAACGTTGTTCATTCTTTTTCGGCCTGTCTTTCGAGATACAACAAGACAACCGGTTGTTTATTATATGCGTACGATCGCTGTGTTTGATATTCTGATGCTATATGGCTGGAATCTTGATCATTATTTGGACATCGTGCATGGGTTTATACTTTTAACGTATACAATACCGACGTGCAAAATTTTTGGATTTCTGAATTATTTCGCTGGACAATCATCAGCATGGCTTCGCGTATTCGTCTGTTTAGATCGATACTTAGCAGTAAGTCGTCTTCATCGCACGTGGTTCAACCGCCGAAAAGGTGTTTCAATCATTATCAGTACAATTATCACGGTTATAACCTTGTTCAACCTACACTTTTTCATCTTTGCTTGTTTCCATCGATCCAATGGTACAATTAATCCCAATGCTCGGCTCTACCGCATTTATCCTCTCTGGGATTATATCAATTTAGGTGTATACAATTGCGCACCATTCATATTCATGGTTACACTCAACACCGGCGTTATTTATCATTTGCTACAGCGTCGTCAAATGCAAGTCATTCAAAATTCACGTATTCAACACCGGACAATATCTACTACATTGGTAATAACAACATTTCTCTTTTTAATTATGACTATTCCAGCTACGATTGTTGCTGCATTTTTCTTCACCACTCCAACGACAACGTTAGCGAAAGTACTCGATTCCGCACTTTATACTTACCATGTATTGTCCTTTATCATCTATTTCATAACATTTAAAGAATTTCGACAAGAATGTTTGATTTTATTTGGATGTTACAATCACAATATTCGTAGAAGAATCGATCCGACAACGAAACAGAGATATTGAAGGGATCTTATACAGAACATTTATTAACCACTTGTATATATATCTCGAAAGAATTTCGAATAAATTACTTCTCAATAACTGCCTTCGTTTTTTTCGCATAATATTACAGCATTAAGATTGTGATGAAATGATATTTCATCTTGACATATTCACATCGACATCGTAGGGGAAAAAAACGTTCTTGGAGAATGAAAACCAGGCACTAAAGAAAGTACAGATTTCAAGAACAGGAAATAAAATCCTCATATGATTCAAATGATAAACATGTAATTATTTTGATATTTTCAATATCCTATAATTATTTTACTTGAAAAGGAAGAGGAGTACTGGAGATGTGCTTTAAATAAATAACTTTTTTCTCTTTTTCAGGATCGATATTCCAGAAAAGTAGGGTGCATATGAATATATGTTAAGATGACATTTATATAATACCGTGCGAGAAAAACTAGACCTATTATTTCGCTAGATTTTTACATTACCCCATAATTCTGTTGCGAATTTTATGAATAATCCACAAATACCACGGACGATAGTGTATGTATAAATAGATCAATACCGTCGATAATTTTATTTCTATAATTGAAATTTTCAGTCCTGCACAGCAGAATCGTCATAATAAAACTCGATTATATGCTCTTCGGTGTATCGTGGGTACATGGCTAGTAGGTTTAATCATGTTAATACCTATCATTATGGTTCGCGATAAAATAACATCGCCAGATGCAAAAATAATCATGAATGGTATGTTCAGTCTATCTCTTTGAGTAAGATCGAAGTGTTTTTGTTCATGCGATTATCGAAGGGACGACAACGGTGAATTCTTACATTTCAACAACACGCACTCCTATCGTTAGTACGAGTAACAATTCAGTTACATCGATGACTAATAATACCAATGTAACTATCAGCCCTCCAGGTAGATAAGTTTGACCAAACAGGATAGATTTGTATTTTCATTTATTCAGTTCAAAAGTGTAGAAACTTAACTTTTACTTCGTATATGTCGTATGCAACTGGGACTAAGCCGTGGTCCATAACTGCTGGTCGCCTGAATGATGATAACTATACAGATTTGGTCGTTGCTAGTCGTGGTAGTCATACGGTTGGTATTTACTTTAATAACGGCGATGGAACATTTCAAAATCAAAAACTTATAATTAATGGTTCACTGCCACAATTTGTTATTGTCAAAGACGTCAACAATGATCAGAATATAGATATTCTAGTTGCTGAGGGTGCATCTGATGCAATAGGTGTTTCCTTGGGCAATGGCTACGGTGGTTTTGCTGCCGAAGTTGACTATTCAGTGGGTATGTATCCATATTGGATCGATTCTGGCGACTTGAATGGCGATCAGAACGTTGATCTTGTCATCGTTAATGACTATAATTCTAATGTCGATATCTTGATTGGCGATGGTCACGGACGTTTCGATACCGGATATACTTATTCTACTGCACAATATCCGGTCGCCGTAGCTATCGATGATTTTAATCATGATGCAAATTTAGATTTTGTAGTTACTGAGTATTCTAGTAATACGATTAGTTTATTTCTTGGCTATGGCAATTCAACGTTTCGAACACGGAGGCGATTCTCCACGGGCAATTCACCATGGGGAATAGCCATTGCAGATTTCAATCGCGACACACATATAGATGTAGTAGTAGCGAATTATGATGATGCAACAATCAGCGTCTTAATGAGCAATGGAAATGGAACATTTCAACCTCAAGTTGTTTATGCTACTGGTGAATTACCAATTTCGGTATCGGTTGGTGATCTTAATGAGGATACAAATATCGATATCGTTGTTGCTAATTACAACATGAACTTCGTCAGCATATTTCTCGGTTATAGTAATGGAAGTTTTGACAATGGACTACGATTGTACACTGACTGGTGGCCAACATCAGTCACGACCAGTGACTTCAATGACGATGGTCAATTGGATATCGCTACTGTGAGTGAAGGCAACCGAACGTTGAACGTTTTTTTAAATAATTGCTGAAAGTTTTATTTCGAAATAAAAAAAAGCGAAAGGTTTATTTTCAATCTCGGAACCAAATGACTTTCATGAGAATGTTAACAATCACTCGACACAAAATAACTAAACCGCCATAAACTGAAATTAGATATGTTAGTCCATCGAATACATTGATTATCCTTGTGTATGAATAGGTACATAACAAAGGCGAACATTGATGAAAGTAATTTTCGTACGATATGTTTGCTGAGTAGTCTTCGACCATCAGCTGATTGACAAACGATTCGATTGTTGTATTTATTTGAAATCTGCTCTTGTCCATCGATGAGACATTCAATGCGCGGTAATGAACCAACTTATCAATACACTCCTGATCGTAAAAACAGGATAAAGTCGATTGAAAGAGTGCTTCTAATGGATAACAACCGGCGAACATCCCATTCGATGGTTGGACGCATTTGGGTGATGACGCACAACTACATTCTTCATAGACAAGCGATTCGAGAGTAGCAGATTGTTGGGTAGTTATAAGATATGGAATGGACACTTTCCAGCTAGTGCCCAGTGCTGTCATAAGTCGATTGGCGCCTGTTGTTTCGCGAATTAATGCGAGCGTGCTGAGAAATAACTGTGGAAATGTTGTTCGAAAATCTTGGATGACAGTTTGGATGCGAAGATTGAATACATTGGATGATAAAAGTTGAGTATTGATGAATTCGGTGTTAGCTAATTGTAAGAGAGTGTCAGTGACGGTTTCTTGTGCCATTTGACAAAGCAGTGAAAGTAAACGAAATTGTAATGTCGAGGAGAACTGGAAATCGAACGGAGTCAGTTGTGGATTCTGCGATGCTTGATTATACTGATAATTAATGAAATCTTGTGAGACGAATACACTCGAGCAAATCTGGTGAAATCGAGGCTTAATAGCAACGAATGTTTCGTACTGAATAGAAATCTTCGAACAAGAACATTGAAGAGTATCTGGATAGTGGTGTATTAGATCTTGATAGACGTTTAGCGATGGTTTCTCAATCTGAACAATCTCACTTTCAGGAACGAAAGCCGCGTTGATATACAAAGCATAGAGAATAGTTGCCACCAGAACGAATTCTAATTGTTTCTTTGTTTGATTTTTGTTACGACAAGTGAGAAAATCGATTGAGACTGCGCGAGAAATACCATGGATGCAATGATTAATAAGTCTAAGAACGATTAAAAGAAGAATCTTGAATCCTAATGATAATCCACCAAAAATACTGATGATGGCTGTTATTAGAAAGATCAGATTCTCTCGACGTTCTTCTTCATATGTGCAAAGTTTTGCTGCACACTCGCCGTAATACGATGTAAAAGAGATATTCGATGACCACGAATCGACCATGAGATTTTGAATAATTGATCCGGCTGTTTCGTTCGGTAAATTCCAAGTGGAATTCAAAGGCGAGAAATTAAAGGCATCACCAAGTGGCAGGGCTAGATATTGATCTATTTGCAACATACATGATCGGTTGTAGAAGCATTCGAACGAAGATTGGAGTAACGAGTCGATTATAAAACAACCGAGGACTAAAGTTGGAACATAAAAACGTACGACGAAATTGTTATAAACAGCGAGATTCACATAACATGATGATGATAAACTACAAGAACATGATGAATACGAACGCGATTTCATGGTTGTTTGTCTGGTTGTTCGATTCGTATGAAAATCAACATTTAGAGCATCATTCATTAACTGATTTCCTTGTGTTGTTGCTCGTAATAACTGAATAGTACGTTGGAATTGATTGATAGTCTCAGATTGCCAATTTTCAATCGATGAATTCATCTGCGATTCGAATAATTCTCGAGATAGTACTTGCGAACCAACAAATTGCGTTTGAAGAAAGATTTCCAATGCATTATCAATTGTTTCTTTCGCTTGCTCGCAAAATGTTCTTAAGGACCGAAAGTATGAACTGACATGAAGTCGATAGTCCAACGAATAATACAACGTATTTTCATCGAGAACTGATATGTAACTCAGCCAGTCCGATGAGATCAAATCGCTCGAACATATCTGATGGTAATGTGGTGCTGTATAAAGAAACTTTGAGTAAGGTATTGAGATTGATGTACATGGACACGAAACACTAGCTGGATATGACTGTGCGAGTTTGAGATAATCGGATTCTGTTGGATTGTAGAAGGTTTCACGGTAAACGCTCGTTCTTAGCAATCGATAATTTATAAAAGTTAAAAGTGATAAAACTACGAGCAAAATGTAAAGTCGACTGGCATATAGTTGATAGCGTGTTTGTCGACCGTCGTTGTTAGTGTCATCATTGAAAATATTGAGTGTTATTAAAGTCGTTTTCATAAAGAGAAATAGTTCGAGCCATCGTTCCTTCACTAAAAATAGAATCAGCTGAAAAGTTTGTTATCATCTTCTGACTTACATGCTTTTTGTTGAGCTTGTAAAGATCCATCATTTTCAGGTACTTCAATATAATGAATTATTTTTGGTACTAATACTCGAAGTACAAGTATTAAGCCGCTCAGCAGACCGATTAATCTTGTTAGTATGAATCCTAATGTTGGTCGTTCTACTTTCGTATATGTACACGAAATCGGTGCACATTGTGCATAGTATTTCTCATACGATATACTCGTGATCCATTTCTCAATCATTAAACCATTGACCATCGACTGCACAGTCGCGTTTCGTCCGTAAATACTTTGATTAATATTGTTCATAGCTGTGAAGTTTTCGTTAGTTGGAAAGAATGAAATCAATCTATCCACACATGTTTGATTAAAGAAACATTCCAACGATGAAGCCAACAACGACTGAAGTGGTAAACAACCAGTCATTATTCCTGGTACGGTCATTATCGGCACTTGATAATCAATAATAGCATATATAAATGATAATGATGTACATGTCATTGTTTCGTAACAGTTGCAAACAGGTCCACTGATAGGTTTATACCTCTGAGAACTGAATAGTAGAGGTTCAGTTTGGTCAGCATCATATGTCATAACAAAATTTGTTGCCAATCCAGAATCCAATTGATTGTTAAATGTCATATCGAGTAAAAGTTGCAATTGGGTTTGAAATTGATTGGGTAATGTCGATTGAAATTGAGCGATAACGGCTTGAACGTTCGATCGAAAGATATTTTCTGATAGGACGTAGGGACTGATCAATGTATTCCGAGCGAATGTGTCGAGATTCTGTTGAACATTGGCCTGTGCGAGTCGACAGAGAGCTGCAAGACCATCGAACTGAGCGTTTCCTATACCTCGAAAATCATTTGGATAAACTGACGAAACACGAAGACCATAATCAAGTGCTTTGATCCATCGATCAGAAACGAAATCACTCGAACATACTTGATGAAAAGTAGCTTGAAGTGATGAGTATTCGCCGTACGTCAGAGAGATACGAGAATAGGGGCACTGTGTATCGATAGGAAGTATTTCGAATTCTTCTTTTGTTGGTTGTTTCAATGTCACGACGTTCGTTTGAACACTAGTCCATGTATACAGACCGACGTTGATCAGAATCAACGCCAAAGTTAACCAATAGACATGAGTCGCAATAACGTTCGCACGACGTTGATGTTCATTATCAATGCCCGATGATTTAAAAAGATTGAAAGTCAGCAGATGAGCCTTGAAAGAAGACATGATCAATGATATTTGAAAGCGTATTGTAATAATTTTCTTTGGAGAGATCGAGGAAAATAAAAGAATTTTGAAAAGACACTCTACGTTTTGCTGCATGAAATGAATTTTTGTAATTAATTTTGAAGATGAAAAGAGAGAGAGAGAGAGAGACAGAAGAGAAATAGCGGAAGTTATTAAATAGATTCGACATTTAGAAAAAAAAACAGGACAAATATGCAAGTGCATACGAATCTTATTTCTTCGCGAAATTCTGGTCAAATAGTTCCAATCGATGATAATATGAATTGTTCATCATCGATTCCGTCGAACGGGCTGCTCAGGTATGAATTCAACTGTCTGAGACTTTTATTATACATTTTCTGTTTCATATCGAAGAATAAAATCAAATCGACTTCAACTAATTGTGCTACGATGCATATTCTTCGCTGCTTTAATCTCAATCATCCTGGTAACATACTTCATTTTCAGCCGTGATCATTCATCATCATCCTCCTCCTCCGATAATCAAGCATCTACTATTAGTATACACATTCTCTCAATGTTTGATGTAATCATCTGAACAAATTTTCTAGAAGTCAGTTCTACCATCACACAGTTTCCTACATATGTAACAACACCAATGAGTACAAAAAGTTCGTTAACTTTATCGGGTGTGTATCAATAAAATTCAGTTAGTGAAATATAAAAGCACATGTCTGAATCTAGGACAAAAGTGTCAGTCGTTTTCATTCGATCCTTACGTTTCGTACAGTTCAAATAACAAACCATGGAGCATCGCCTTCGGCGATTTCAATCGCGATAACCATCTGGACATCGTTATTAGCAAGACTGAAAACTACGAACTTGGCCTCTATTTCGGGTTTGGCAACGGAACATTTGCAGCACAAACGACTATCTCTGCTGGCAGCACCCTTTTTTACGTTACCACTGCAGATCTCAATAACGACAACTACACGGATATCATTACAGTCGAAGCTAGTGATAACAGGGTTGGCGTGTTTTTTGGGCATGGTGATGGAACGTTCGATCGACGAAAGACATTTCCTACTGGTTATTACCCGTATTGGGTTGATACCGGGGATTTTAATGGTGATGGAAATACGGATATGATCACTGCTAATTCTTATGATAATACTGTTACCTTATTGTTAGGCGATGGACGTGGAAATTTTGCAACACAGCGGAATATAACTGCAGGTGATATTGTTACAGGAGTCGTTGTTGCTGATTTTAATCTCGATAATCATCTGGATTTTGCTGTTACGGAATTCCGAGATTATACGATGAGTGTCTTTCTTGGCACAGGCAGCGGACTATTTCAAGCGAGGCAATCTTTCTCAACTGAAAAAAATCCATGGGGCTTAGCAAGTGGCGATTTCAACGGCGACAAGTACATGGATATCGTGGTTGTTAATCAACGAGCTGATTCCATTAGTGTGTTTATTAACAATCGCAACGGCACGTTTCAGTCTCAAATGGTTTATTCCACAGATGCTCCAGCCATATCGGTAGCTGTTGGTGACATGAATAATGATACATATATCGACATTATTGTTGCAAATGACTATAAAAATTACGTGGGCATTTATCGCGGATTCGGGAACGGAAGTTTCGATTTCCCGATGAAATTCTACACTGACTGGTGGATACTATTTGTTGCCACTGGCGATTTTAATGGCGATCATCGACCGGATATTGCTGTACTAAGCGAATACACGGAAGCTATGAACATTCTTTTGAACTCTTGCTAATATGATTGATCAGTTTGAAAGAATTTTTTAAGTATGCTTTAGATGTCGCAGGGTGTCGAATAAATACAAAGAGAAAAGAAAAGAAAAAAAATATTCGAATTGACCTTTCATACGATTCTTTTTTCCATTAGATAAGAACAGCGTCATTCGTAGTCGAGAATGTCGTTCCATGCAACATCTCGACAGAATCAGATCCCAATCATTGACTTAACCGAATCATTCACGGATGCGACAGTTCGTCATGAAACAGCAAAACAGATCGATGAAATATGTCAAACAATTGGCTTTTTCATTATTACAGGACATTCGATCGATAGAAACATTCAAGATGATATGATACAAGTGTCGAGAGAATTTTTTCATTTGCCTTTACCGGTCAAACAAGAGATAATTGGCTCGAAAGATTATCCTTATGGTTACAATGGTTTAAATGATGAAAACTTATCACTCGGTTATGAAAAATCCTCATCAGCAGCACTTTTGAATGATGTTAAAGAGAGTTTCTCGATTGGTCCTGAGCACGAACAACCAATTCGATGGCCAACCAAACCTGCCACGATGACTTCAGTTTGGTTAAAGTATTATGCTGAATGTCATCGTTTATCCCAACATCTTTATCATTTATTTGCTTTGGCATTACACCTAGACGAACACTGGTTTGACGATAAAATCACCTCGCATCGTTCCGCATTACGCTCCTTGTATTATCCATCGTTTTCTTCCCCGTTACCTCCGAATCAATATCGTTCAAGTGCACACACTGACTATGGCGCATTTACTATCCTGAAACAAGATTCCATCGGGGGTTTACAAGTACAGAATCGTCTCGATCAACAGTGGATCGACGTTCCATACATTGAGAATAGTTTTGTTATTAATCTAGGTGATCTAATGTCGCGATGGACTAATGATCATTGGGTGTCCACTCCACATCGTGTGATTGGCCCGCAGAAGCAAATTGATGCTAATTTGTACCCATCACGACAAAGTATTGCTTTCTTTTGTCAAATTAATCCGGATGAAATCGTCACTTGTATACCAACATGTACAACAGCAGAGAGACCATCGAAATACCCACCGATTCGATCATGGGATCTAATACTAGAAAAATATTTAGCTTCGACGCAAAAGAAAGAGTCAACCAGTGTCTAGTATTTTTTTCTCTTGTTAATTTGAAATAAATTCTCTGGAAAAACGATCATATATGTTTGAATAAGGCGAAATGATTCACTAGAACCAAAGTAGAGCACGAAAATTATTTCTTCAGATCAGCAGGAAAGAAACTAATTCGGTTTTCTTTTCGTTTTCTGTTTGGATATCGTACCTAAGAGATTTTTTTCGTGACCAAATACATAAATGATTATTTACTTCAATGGAATATTGTTCTGTAATGCAAAGAAGCACTTCGTCTTTATTATTTATAAAATATTCGCTCGCTTGTGCTCGGGTAATTATTTGCATTCAGACTCAATTCGAATATTATCCAGTTTATGTCGAATACAATTAAACATCTATCCATTGAATTACCAACCGAACATAATGTGACCCAAACTCCAAAACAACGTTCGAGATGGCTTTCCATCATCTACAATTTCAGCTCCGAAACAACAGCACATGGATTACCGCGAATTGTTCAAAGTGAAAATCGTCTTAATCGTATATATTGGTCCATTGCAACATTGACTTGTGCTGCACTGATGATCTATTTTATTATTCGAGCAATTTTAGAGTATTTTACGTATCCAACACAAATTGATATCAGTATTGAATCAGAATGGCCACAACACTTCCCAGCATTTTCATTTTGCAACGTTGGTGGATTTCGTTTGGACGCCTTTGCTGTTCCATTTGCGAATTATACGAATTCACACAATCTGACAAACACTAATAATGCATCCACAGTATATTTAGAACAAATTCCTTATGTGATTTCTTTTATGCGTGATCTACTCAGCCGAAATTCAACCTTGGAACCGTTTGCTTTTCCGCTTTCGGCAATGCTAGTCTCATGTTCATATAATTCTCATCAATGTACAACAGCAGATTTCGTTCCATTTATACATACAACTTATGGATACTGTTATACATTCAATGGGAAATTGAAAAATGAAAGTGAAGGTAGCGTACGAGATGGAACGGAATACAATGGTCTCGGCATATTGAACCTGGGTCTTTATGTACACAGTAATCAATATATTCCTTATATGACCGACAGTAAAGTTCGTTTTTGTGAGATTTTCTTCGAAGCGTAATTTTCTCTTGTAGGCGTTGGTATAGTAGCTGTTATTCATGATAATACTCAAGTACCGTTGATGGACACAGCCGGTTATAATTTAAATCCAGGACAAAAACATAAGCTCAGTTATCGAAAGAAAAACTACGAATTTTTACCTGCGCCATATACGTTGTGTAACTCGGAAACTGCTCCTTGGATGCAAACTATGTTTGAAAGTTATGAAAAATTTGATTACAAGTACTCAAAGCCGCTCTGTATCAAACTCGATGCACAGATATTTACGTAAGTTCACCTATAGTAATATACTGAACATCTATCGTACATTTGAGTTCTACAGGTATGAGAAATGTGGTTGTGTTAATCCTTATTATTGGGATATTCGATCAGTTCTTTCACCGAAAACCAATACTGTTATTTCTGCTTCTCTTTGCAATGTGACTGACAACTGTTATACAGAAGCTGCGAGTGCATATGTTAACAGGACGAAAAGTATAAATGAAAATGATGGAGCGTCATGTCCACAAGAATGCGAAATGAATGATTTCATTATTAAGAAATCATCACTAGCAACACCCACTCTATGGCAACTGTACGGTATTAAGTCGTTTGTTGAAAATTCGTCAATACCTCAACCTTCAGATTGGTCAACATCATGGCCTGACTATATTTCTGAAAATTATCTCGCTGTAAGTGTTGTGCGCGAGACAGATGTCGTCGAAAAGAATATTCAATCAGCGTCGCTTAGCATTGGAGATGTTATTTCGAACATTGGAGGGCAAACAGGACTATGGATTGGAATTAGTATTCTTTCGGTTATGGAGTTATTTGAAATGATCTATCGATTGCTACGATTAATCAAACGAAGAAATAAATGAGTATTTGACATGCATTTTNTCAATCGCGACACACATATAGATGTAGTAGTAGCGAATTATGATGATGCAACAATCAGCGTCTTAATGAGCAATGGAAATGGAACATTTCAACCTCAAGTTGTTTATGCTACTGGTGAATTGCCAATCTCGGTTTCGGTTGGAGATCTTAATGAGGATACAAACATCGATATCGTTGTTACTAATTATAACATGAACTTCGTCAGCATATTTCTCGGTTATAGTAATGGAAGTTTTGACGATGGACTACGATTGTACACTGATTGGTGGCCAACGTCAGCCACGATCAGTGACTTCAATAACGATGGTCAATTGGATATCGCTGTTGTGAATGAAGGTAACCGAACATTGAACGTTTTTTTAAATAATTGCTGAAAGTTTTATTTCGAAATAAAAAAAAAAGTGAAAGGTTTATTTTCAAGCTCGGAACCAAATGACTTTCATGAGAATGTTAACAATCATTCGACACAAAATAACTAAACCGCCATAAACTGAAATTAGATATGTTAGTCCATCGAATACGTTGATTATCCTTGTGTATGAATAAGTACATAACAACGGCGAACATTGATGAAAGTAATTTTCATACGATATGTTTGCTGAGTAGTCTTCGACCATCAGCTGATTGACAAACGATTCGATTGTGGTATTTATTTGAAATCTGCTCTTGTCCATCGATGACACATTCAATGCGCGGTAATGAACCAACTTATCAATACACTCCTGATCGTAAAAACAGGCTAAAGTTGATTGAAAGAGTGCTTCTAATGGATAACAACCGGCGAACATTCCGTTCGATGGTTGGATGCATTTGGGTGATGACGCACAACTACATTCTTCATAGACAAGTGATTCGAGAGTAGCAGATCGTTGGGTAGTTATAAGATATGGAATGGACACTTTCCAGCTAGTGCCCAGCGCTGTCATAAGTCGATTGGCGCCTGTTGTTTCGCGAATTAATGCGAGCGTGCTGAGAAATAACTGTGGAAATGTTGTTCGAAAATCTTGGATGACAGTTTGGATACGAAGATTGAATACATTGGATGATAAAAGTTGAGTATTGATGAATTCAGTGTTAGCTAATTGTAAGAGAGTGTCAGTGACTGTTTCTTGTGCCATTTGACAAAGTAATGAAAGTAAACGAAATTGTAATGTTGAGGAGAACTGAAAATCGAACGGAGTCAGTTGTGGATTCTGCGATGCTTGATCATACTGATAATTAATGAAATTTTGTGAGACGAATACACTCGAGCAAATCTGATGAAATCGAGGTTTAATAGTAAGGAATGTTTCGTATTGAATAGAAATCTTCGAACAAGAGCATTGAAGAGTATCTGGATAGTGATGCATCAGATCTTGATAGACGTTCAGCGATGGTTTCTCAATCTGAACAATTTCACTTTCAGGAACGAAAGCCGCGTTGATATACAAAGCATAGAGAATAGTTGCCACCAGAACGAATTCTAATTGTTTCGTTGCTTGTTTTTTGTTACGACAAGTGAGAAAATCGATTGAGGCTGCGCGAGAAATACCATGGATGCAATGATTAATAAGTCTAAGAACGACTAAAAGAAGAATCTTAAATCCTAACGATAATCCACCAAAAATACTGATGATGACAGTTATTAGTAAGATCAGATTCTCCCGACGTTCTTCTTCATAGGTGCAAAGTTTTGCTGCACACTCGCCATAATACGATGTAAAAGAGATATTTGATGACCATGAATCGACCATGAGATTTTGAATAATTGATCCGGCTGTTTCGTTCGGTGAATTCCAAGTGGAATTCAAAGGGGAGAAATGAAAGGCATCACCAAGTGGCAGGGCTAGATATTGATCTATTTGCAACATACATGATCGATTGTAGAAGCATTCGAACGAAGATTGGAATAACGAGTCGATTATAAAACAACCGAGGACTAAAGTTGGAACATAAAAACGTACGACTAAATTGTTATAAACAGCGAGATTCACAGAACATGATGATGATAAACTACAAGAGCATGATGAATACGAACGAGATTTCATGGTTGTTTGTCTGGTTGTTCGATTTGTATGAAAATCAACATTTAGAGCATGGTTCATTAACTGATTTCCTTGTGTTGTTGCTCGTAATAACTGAATGGTACGTTGGAATTGATTGATAGTCTCAGATTGCCAATTTTCAATCGATGAATTCATCTGCGATTCGAATAATTCTCGAGATAGTACTTGCGAACCGACAAATTGTGTTTGAAGAAAGATTTCCAATGCATTATCAATTGTTTCTTTCGCTTGCTCACAAAATGTTTTTAAGGACCGAAAGTATGAATTGACATGAAGTCGATAGTCCAAAGAATAATACAACGTATTTTCATCAAGGATTGATACATAACCCAGCCAGTCCGATGAGATCAAATCGCTCGAACATATCTGATGATAATGTGGTGCTGTATAAAGAAATTTTGAGTAAGGTATTGAGATTGATGTACATGGACACGAAAGACTAGTTGGATAGGACTGTGCAAGTTTGAGATAATCGAATTCTGTTGGATTGTAGAAGGTTTCACGGTAAACGCTCTTTCTTAGCAATCGATAATTTATAAAGGTTAAAAGTGACAGAACTACGAGCAAAATGTAAAGTCGACTGGCATATAGTTTATAGCGTGTTTGTCGATCATCGTTGTCAGTGGCATCATTGAAAATATTGATTGTTATTAAAGTCGTTTTCATAAAAAGAATTAGTTCGAACCATCGTTCCTTCACTAAAAATAGAATCAGCTGAAAAGTTTGTTATCATCTTCTGACTTACATCCTTTTTGTTGAGTTTGTAAAGATCCACCATTTTCAGGTACTTCAATATAATGAATTACTTTTGGTACTAACACTCGAAGTACAAGTATTAAGCCGCTCAGCAGACCGATTAATCTTGTTAGTATAAATCCTAATGTTGGTCGTTCTATTTTCGTATATGTACACGAAATCGGTGCACATTGTGCATAGTATTTCTCATACGATATACTCGTGATCCATTTCTCAATCATTAAACCATTAACCATCGATTGAACAGTCGCGTTTCGTTCATAAATAGTTTGATTAATGATGCTCATAGCTGTGAAGTTTTCATTAGTTGGAAAGAATGAAATCAATCTATCCACACATGTTTGATTAAAGAAACATTCCAACGATGAAGCCAACAATGACTGAAGTGGTAAACAGCCAGTCATTATTCCTGGTACGGTCATTATTGGCATTTGATAATCAATAATAGCATATATGAATGCTAATGATGTACATGTCATTGTTTCGTAACAGTTGCAAACAGGTCCACTGATAGGTTTATACCTTTGAGAACTGAATAGTAGAGGTTCAGTCTGGTCAGCATCATATGTCATAACAAAATTTGTTGCCAGTCCAGAATCCATTTGATTGTTAAATGTCATATCGAGTAAAAGTTGCAATTGCGTTTTAAATCGATTGGGTAATGTCGATTGAAATTGAGCGATGACAGCTTGAATGTTCGATTGAAAGATATTTTCTGATAGGACGTAGGGACTGATCAATGTATTCCGAGCGAATGTATCGAGATTCTGTTGAACATTGGCCCGGGCGAGTCGACAGAGAGCTGCAAGACCATCGAACTGAGCGTTTCCCACACCTCGAAAATCATATGGATAGACGGACGAAACACGAAGACCATAATCAAGTGCTTTGATCCATCGATCAGAAACGAAATCACTCGAACATACTTGATTGAAAGTTGCTTGAAGTGATGAGTATTCACCGTACGACAGAGAGATACGAGAACAGGGACACTGTGCATCGATAGGAAGTATTTCGAATTCTTTTTTTGTTGGTTGTTTCAATGTCACGACGTTCGTTTGAATACTAGTCCATGTATATAGACCGACGTTGATCAGAATCAACACCAAAGTTAACCAATAGACATGAGTCGCAATAACGTTCGCACGACGTTGATGTTCATTATCGATGTCCGATGATTTAAAAAGATTGAAAGTCAGCAGATGAGTCTTGAAAGAAGACATGATCGGTGATATTTGAAAGCGTATTGTAATAATTTTCTTTGGAGAGATCCAGGAAAATAAAACAATTTTGAAAAGAGCCTCTAAGTTTTGTTGCATGAAATGAATTTTTTGTAATTAATTTTGAAGATGAAAAGAGAGAGAGAGAGAGAGAGAGAGAGAGACAAGAGAAATAGCGGAAGTTATTAAATAGATTCGACATTCAGAAGAAGAAAAAAACAGGGCAAATATGCAAGTGCGTACGAATCTTATTTCTTCGCGAAATTCTGATCAAATAGTTCCAATCGACGATGATACGAATTGTTCATCATCGGTTCCATCGAACGGGTTGATCAGGTATGAATTCAACTGTCTGAGACTTTTATTCTAAATTTTCCGCTTCATATTGAAGAATAAAATCAAATCGACTTCAACTAATCGTACTACGATGCATCTTCTTCGCAGCTTTAATCTCAATCATCCTGGTAACATACTTCATTTTCAGTCGTGATTATTCATCATCATCGTCCTCCAATAATCAAGCAACTACTATTGGTATACACACTCTCTTAATGTTTTGATGTAATCGCCTGAACAAATTTTCTAGAAGTCAGTTCTACCATCACACAATTTCCTACATATGTAACAACAGCAATGAGTACAAAAAGTTTGTCAACTTTATCGGGTGTGTATCAATTTACTTCAGTTAGTGAAATATAAAAGTACATGTTTGAATCTAGGACAAAAGTGCCAGTCGTTTTCATTCGATCCTTACGTTTCGTACAGTTCAAATAACAAACCATGGAGCATCGCCCTCGGCGATTTCAATCGTGATAATCATCTCGACATCGTTATTAGCAAAACTGAAAACTACGAACTTGGCCTCTATTTCGGTTTTGGCAACGGAACATTTGCAGCACAAATGACTATCTCTGCTGGCAGCACCCTTTTTTACGTTACCACTGCAGATCTCAATAACGACAACTACACGGATATCATTACAGTCGAAGGTAGTGATAACAGGATTGGCGTGTTTATTGGGCATGGTGACGGAACGTTCGGTCGACGAAAGACATTTCCTACTGGTTATTACCCGTATTGGGTTGATACCGGGGATTTTAATGGTGATGGATACATAGATCTGATCACTGCTAATTCTTATGATAAAACTGTTACTTTATTGTTAGGCGATGGACGTGGAAATTTTGCAACACAGCGTAATATAACTGCAGGTGATATTGTTACCGGAGTTGTTGTTGCCGATTTTAATCTCGATAATCATCTGGATTTTGCGGTTACAGAATTCCGAGATTATACGATGAGTGTCTTTCTTGGTACAGGCAGCGGTCTATTTCAAGCAAGACAATCTTTCTCAACTGAAAATAATCCATGGGGTTTAGCAAGTGGCGATTTCAACGGCGACAAGTACATGGATATCGTGGTTGTTAATGAACGAGCTAATTCCATTAGTGTGTTTATTAACAATCGCAACGGCACGTTTCAATCTCAAATGGTTTATTCCACAGATGCTTCAGCCATATCGGTAACTGTTGGTGACATGAATAATGATACATATATCGATATTATTGTTGGAATTAACTATAAAAATTATGTGAACATTTATCGCGGGTTCGGGAACGGAAGCTTCGATTTCCCGATGAAATTCTACACTGACTGGTGGATACTATTTGTTGCAACTGGCGATTTTAATGGCGATCATCGACCGGATATTGCTGTGCTAAGCGAATACACGGAAGCTTTGAATATTCTTTTGAACTCTTGCTAATAAGATTGATCAGTTTGAAAGAATTTTTTAAGTGCGCTTTAGATGTCGCACGGTGTCGAATAAATAGAAAGAGAAAAGAAAAGAAAAGAAAAAAAAATATTCGAATTGACCTTTCATACGATTCATTTTTCCATTAGATAAGAATAACGTCATTCGTAGTCGAAAATGTCGTTCCATGCAATATCTCGACAGAATCAGATCCCAATTATTGACTTAACCGAATCATTCACGGATGCGACAGTTCGTCATGAAACAGCAAAACAGATCGATGAAATATGTCAAACAATTGGCTTTTTCATTATTACAGGACATTCGATCGACAGAAACATTCAAAATGATATGATACAAGTGTCCAGAGAATTTTTTCATTTGCCCCTAGCGATTAAACAAGAGATAATTGGCTCGAAAGATTATCCCTATGGTTACAATGGTTTAAATGATGAAAACTTATCACTCGGCTATGAAAAATCCTCATCAGCAGCACTTTTGAATGACTTTAAAGAAAGTTTCTCGATTGGTCCTGAGCACGAACAACCCATTCGATGGCCGACGAAACCTGTCACAATGCCTTCAATTTGGTTAAAGTATTATGCCGAATGTCATCGTTTATCCCAACATCTTTATCATCTATTTGCCTTGGCATTACGCCTAGACGAACACTGGTTTGACGATAAAATCACCTCGCATCGTTCCGCATTACGCTCCTTGTATTATCCTTCGTTTTCTTCCCCGTTGCCTTCGAATCAATACCGTTCAAGTGCACACACTGACTATGGAGCATTTACTATCCTGAAACAAGATTCCATCGGGGGTTTACAAGTACAGAATCGTTTCGATCAACAGTGGATCGACGTTCCATGCATTGAGAATAGTTTTGTTATCAATCTAGGTGATCTAATGTCGCGGTGGACTAATGATCATTGGGTATCCACTCCACATCGTGTGATTGGCCCGCAGAAGCAAATTGATGCTAATTTGTACCCATCACGACAAAGTATTGCTTTCTTTTGTCAAATTAATCCGGATGAAATCGTCACTTGTATACCAACATGTACAACAGCAGATAAACCATCGAAATACCCACCGATTCGATCATGGGATCTAATACTAGAAAAATATTTAGCTTCGACGCAGAAGAAAGAGTCAACTAGTTCTTAGCATTTTTTTTCTCTTGTTTATTTGCAATAAATTATGTGGAAAAACGATCATATGTGTTTGAATAGGGCGAAATGATTCACTAAAACCAAAGTAGAACATGAAAACTATTTCTTTAGATCAACAGGAAGAAACTAACAAGGTTTTCTTTTCGTTTTCTGTTTGGATATCGTACCTAAGAGATTTTTTTCGTGATCAATCACATAAGTGTTTATTTACTTCAATGGAATATTGCTCTGTAATGCAAAGAAGCACTTCGTCTTTATTATTTGTAAATATTCGCTCGCTTGTGCTCGGGGTAATCATTTGCATTCAGACTCAATTCGAATATTATCCATTTTATGTCGAATACAATCAAACATCTATCCATTGAATTACCAACCGAACATAATGTGACCCAAATTCCGAAACAACGTTCGAAATGGCTTTCCATCATTTACAATTTTAGCTCAGAAACAACAGCACATGGATTACCACGAATTGTTCACAGTGAAAATCGTTTTAATCGTCTATATTGGTCCATTGCAACATTGGCTTGTGCTGCACTGATGATCTATTTTATTATTCGAGCAATTTTAGAGTATTTTACGTATCCAACACAAATTGATATCAGTATTGAATCAGAATGGCCACAACACTTTCCAGCATTTTCATTTTGCAATGTTGGTGGATTTCGTTTGGACGCTTTTGCTGTTCCATTTGCGAATTATACGAATTCGCACAATCTAACAAACACAAATGATTCATCCACAGTATATTTAGAACAAATTCCTTATCTGATTTCTTTTATGCGTGATCTATTCAGCCAAAATTTAACCTTGGAACCGTTTGCTTTTCCACTTTCGGCAACACTAGTTTCATGTTCATATAATTCTCATCAATGTACCACAGCAGACTTCGTTCCATTTATACATACAACTTACGGATACTGTTATACATTCAATGGAAAATTGAAAAATGAAAGTGAAGGTAGCGTACGAGATGGAACGGAATACAATGGTCTCGGCATACTGAATCTGGGTCTTTATGTACACAGTAATCAATACATTCCATATATGACCGACAGTACAGTTCATTTTTATGAGACTTTCTTCGAAGTGTAATTTTCTCTTGTAGGCGTTGGCATAGTCGCTGTTATTCATGATAATACTCAAGTACCATTGATGGACACAGCCGGTTATAATTTAAATCCAGGACAAAAACATAAGCTCAGTTATCGAAAGAAAAACTATGACTTTTTACCTGCGCCATATACCTTGTGTGAGTCGAAAACTGCTCCTTGGATGCAAACTATGTTTGAAAGTTATGAAAAATTTGATTACAAGTACTCAAAGCCGCTCTGTATCAAACTCGATGCACAGATATTTACGTAAGTTCACCTATAGCAGTATACTGAACATCTATCGTACATTTGAGTTCTACAGGTATGAAAAATGTGGTTGTGTTAATCCTTACTATTGGGATATTCGATCAGTTCTTTCACCGAAAACCAATACTGTTATTTCTGCTCCTCTTTGCAATGTGACTAATAACTGTTATACAGAAGCTGCGAGTGCATATATTAACAGCACGAAGAGTATAAATAAAAATGATGAAGCGTCATGTCTACAAGAATGTGAAATGAATGATTTCATTATTAAGAAATCATCACTAGCAACACCCACTCTATGGCAACTGAACGATATTAAGTCGTTTGTTGAAAATTCGTCAATACCTCAACCTTCAGATTGGTCAACATCATGGCCTGACTATATTTTACAAAATTATCTCGCTGTAAGTGTTGTGCGCGAGACAGATGTCGTCGAAAAGAATATTCAATCAGCGTCGCTTAGCATTGGAGATGTTATTTCGAACATTGGAGGGCAAACAGGACTATGGATTGGAATTAGTATTCTTTCGGTTATGGAGTTATTTGAAATGATCTATCGATTGCTACGATTAATCAAACGAAGAAATAAATGAGTATTTGACATGCATTTTNAAAATTATCTCGCTGTAAGTGTTGTGCGCGAGACAGATGTCGTCGAAAAGAATATTCAATCAGCGTCGCTTAGCATTGGAGATGTTATTTCGAACATTGGAGGGCAAACAGGACTATGGATTGGAATTAGTATTCTTTCGGTTATGGAGTTATTTGAAATGATCTATCGATTGCTACGATTAATCAAACGAAGAAATAAATGAGTATTTGACATGCATTTTATGAATATTGTCGCATAAAACTTTTTCTACCTTTCCTTTTTTTTTATAAGCACCACGTGCACGCTCTTCACTGATGTTTTTCTCTTACTGATTTTTCGAACTTGTTGTTCTAGATGGCTGAGAGTCCTTGTAAAACTGTTTCGAATGAAGATTGCTTGATAAATAAGGAAGTGATCGATTTATTAGCATCATTAATTGAAACTATCGACAAAAAAGAACAATCTGAAGAAGTAAATTTGGAAAATTTTACTCTATTATGGTGTGATAGTCAAGTAAATTCTTCTGCTGACAATCGTCAAACACAATTAGACTTACGTCAATCGATCAATTTTCTAAAAACTTTCGAATCAGCAGATTCATGTCAATTATATATCGAAAGCCAATCGAACGAATATATCGTTTTAATTGTATCTGGTAGCATCGGACGCGAATTGATCCCGAATATACATTCTTTACCACAAGTCATTGCTATTTATGTCTTCTGTTTGGACATACGAGAGCACGAAACATGGTCTGCAAAGTACGAAAAAGTAGGCTGGAATACAATAAATTTAACATATACGCAACTCTTGTTTAGGTCAAGAAAGTCACATCGGGCAAAGTTCAATTATTAGATGCGATTATAAATGATCAAGCGCAAAGAAATAATCTTGCGCGACAACAAAACATTGACATTACTGTTTTTAGTGTTGCAAATATGAGAAGTAGACCGACCGAGACAGTTGCTTCTTCCAGAGAATATTCCCATCAAAATCTTGATAGCGACTTTATGTGGTCGCAGCTAATTGTCGAAGTTCTATTGAAAATGAACGAAACACTTCGCGAACACTATTTTAACATATTTATTGCCAATTGTAAAAAACAATATCATGGTAATTTGAATGATTTGAAAATTGTCGATGAATTAGAAGAATATTATTATGCACCTGCTGCCCTTTTCTGGTATACTCGAGATTCGTTCTTGTATCGTGTTCTAAATAGAGCATTACGATGCCGTGATGATCATGTATTAGTTACTATGGCGTTTTTCATTCACGATATCTATATTGGACTGCAAGAAAAGCAAAAGGAATTGGCAAAAGAATCATCGACCATACGTGTTTATCGAGGACAGTTAATGTCAATTGTCGAGCTCGAAAAGATGAAGACAAGTGTTGGTAAATATATTTCAATCAATAGTTTCTTTTCGACGACAAAACAACGACAATTAGCATGGGAAATTTATGCGGGTGCAAAAAATAATCGAAGCAATCAATCTGAAGAGGCGATACTTTTTGAAATCGATGCTGATGCGAATCTAATGGATGCCAAACCGTTTGCTGACATTACAAATCACAGTGCATTTGATAAAACGGAGCAAGAAGTTTTATTTATGCTCGGAAGTATATTTAAAATTGTTGCTATTTCTCAAACTGAAGAAGAAAACCTGTGGATAATTAAATTAGAATTAAGTACCGAAAAAGAGAATGAATTAAAATCGGTTGCTGATTATATGAAAAAAGAAATACCAGAGGAGACGGATATGATGTCTCTTGGTATAATTTATTACAATATGGGAAAGTACTTCGAAGCAGAACAATACTTTGAGAAAACGGCTAATATATTATCTGAAGCAGATGCCAATCTTGCAGGATGTTACAGTAATCTAGGAATGATTGCTTACTGTGGATATGGCGATTATCAGAAAGCTTTCGTTAATTATTCCAAAGCGCTCGAGCTTGAACTAAGAAAACCATTGCAGCATAAGCATACCCTTGGCAATATATTCAATAATTTGGGTAATGTTTTAAGACAACAAGGTCGATATACTGAGGCGCTTGAGCAGTACTCAAATGTGTTCAAAATAGATTTAGACAACAAGGGACTTCAAGGTGTTCTCTTAGCTGCAGTCTATCTAAATATAGGAATTGTTTACAAAGAATTAGGGAAACATGTCTTAGCTTTGGAAAGTATGAATGAATCCTTAACAATCACATCGCGAGAACTACCTGAAAATCATCCGACTCTCGCCAGTATATACAATTATATTGCACTCGTACAACAAAGTACTAGAGACTTTGAATCATCTATGAGGAATTTTCAAAGAGCTTTGTCGATTCAGTTGGCTGCATCGCCAGATCATCCTGAAACCGCTATTACGTATAATAACATCGGAATGACATATGTGCTTGGATCCAAAAATTATACCGAAGCTCTCATAAATTATGAAAAGTCGTTAAAAATCTTTGAAAACGCCTCTTTAACATCAAATCGTCCGGCGATGGTATCTCTGCTTACGAATATTGGCTTCTTATATCGGCGGAGAGAAAGCTATGATTTGGCTTTGAAATACTACGAGAGAGCTCTACAGGTGCAATTAGAATGGGCACCGNTCGGAATGACATATGTGCTTGGATCCAAAAATTATACCGAAGCTCTCATAAATTATGAAAAGTCGTTAAAAATCTTTGAAAACGCCTCTTTAACATCAAATCGTCCGGCGATGGTATCTCTGCTTACGAATATTGGCTTCTTATATCGGCGGAGAGAAAGCTATGATTTGGCTTTGAAATACTACGAGAGAGCTCTACAGGTGCAATTAGAATGGGCACCGAGCCATTCAACTACTGCTGTTATTTACGATAATTTAGGTTTGATTTATCAAGATGGCTTTCAAAATTATAGCGAAGCATTGTCTAATCACAAAAAGGCCATTGAAATAATTAAAACTACATTACCAGCAGACCACCCGGATCTAAGAAAAGCATTATCTCACATAGCTGATGTTTATAATGAAACAGACGAATACGAACTAGCTTTAGCGACTTATCAAGAAGCATTGAAGATTATGCCATCATCTATACTGTATCAAACTGGTATTGCAGCACTTTATGCTAAGTTAGCCCTCGTTTACACAAATGGCTTCCACAATTATATCGACGCATTGAGCAATCTAGAAAAAGCACTGTACATTTACACAAATCTTTCTTTATCCGATCAGATAAGTGTAGTTCTTCATTGTATTCAAGAGGTGAAGGAACGACAGGAAAATGAGTAAGCACTACAATACTCTATTGCCTGTCTATGTATTTCTTTTTAGCAATCCGTTGGAGTACAATTTAACTCCCAAACATCGGTACTCTATGAAACAAATATTAGGCGACGGTGAAGTTCTTACAAATATGTATGATAGTAGAATATGTGTCCCTATGTCTGAGTTTATACGAAGCAACACAACTGTTGCCTTATATTTCGCAAATCATGCTTCGTCGTTCAGTTGTTGGGTTACTTCTGAGTTAGCCGAGATATACAAACAAATGTTATCGAGCGAAACTGATCCGTCATTATCATTTGATATTATATATGTATGGCTGTGTGATTCGGATGAAGAATCCTTCATAAAAAGTTATAGAGAAATGCCCTGGAAAACGTTACCTTATCGTAGAAAAGATACCATGATTTTATTACAAAGAATGTTGACATATTTCAATCTAGAACGGATGCCAAGATTAATTGTCTTCAAGGCAACAACTGGTGAGATTTTATCAGAAGATGGGCATCGCGCATTGATTCAAATGAAACTGAACGCAATCAAGCAGTGGTGCTGTGGAGAAAAAGCAATTCGTTCACGATCACCATGTGAAGAATTTATTTGGTATAGTGTACAATGTGATGGTGACTGTGGTATGTTGGCTTTGAAAGGATTAAGATATCACTGCAAAACGTGCGAAAATTATGATTTATGTGCAAGGTGTAAAGAAGCGAAAGGACATGAACATGCGTTGGAGCTAATGGAACCATCGTACGAAAGTGATGAGGAACAACAATGAGTGAATATATATCATACAAGTTGAAAAAGATAATATAATAAAAATCTAGGAGTTAAATTTGTGTCAGTAGTTGTTGATTCAGAATATTACCAGTTGTTTCAGACGAAGATGAAAGTGGTTGATTCTTTCGATGCCATGGACAAAGAGTTAACACTTCGATCGTCTGCTTACGAAACCGTTTCGATGCTACGTAATAACAATAGAATGAACTCTAAAATCAAATCGAAAATGACCTCCTCGATTATGTACGACAGAATTGCTTACAGCAAATGTACTATAATTACAAGTGACAACAACCATTTGAATTAATTGTTCTTCAGCTTGTTGCAATGCACTTTTAGACATATGCTTTGTTGCACATGTGTAAATTTGTACAACAGCAAACGGAGTTTCACAGCAGAGTACAATCATAATTTGAACTAAAATCATATTCGTTATTTGTTTTGTTAGATGTGATAATCGCGCAGATCGACGATGTACTACAACTACGGTATGTTGATCACTGTCTATTGCATGAAGCTGTCGGTAAGTAAGAAATCCGAAGATACCAATAATAATCAAAGGAATAATTGTACTGAAAGCAATGACAACGAAATAATTCCGATATTGTGAATAGTGTTTACTAGTTGTTCGACATGCCGGTTTACCTTTAATACTGATAAGATCTTGAAAAATAACAGATGGAATTTGATGACAAAACCAAAAGCATGCAAAAGCAAAGATAATATACCGAGCAGTTTGAATTTGACTTTTCCGTCGGAGAGTAACTGATGGCGAAGAAGAGAAATATGCGTCTATCGACTGAAGACAAAGACATGTCAATGAATTGAATACACCAAATTCTAATAAAGCAAGACGAATTCGACACCAGAAGCGACTTTTCACGGACAAATCTACTTGAAAACTATGATCAAGTACCCGAAGACCCAGCCCAAGAACTAACACCAGTAGGTCATAAAAAGTCTTGCACAAGATATAGAATGACGATGCATTGTGTTTGTAATTGTTCAGTTTGACGAACACGATGACATTCAGTAGATTACCCAGTATACCAATGATACATAGAGGCAAGGCAAAAGTATGGCTGAGATATCTGGAAGCGAGTTGAAATTGAGATATGGATGATGTATTTACAGTGATGTTCATCGACAAGAACTTCTCTCAGTTACGATTCTGCGTAGAAGGAATATTCTGATTTGATCACATCTACTCAAGCACTATGTTTTCTTTTCATATCAACACAATTAGACTGCACGTACATAGATAGACTATCATATTACACTATCACGTTTTCACAGAGATAGGAAATAGGAAGACGAAGTAATGAGACTAAATATTGAATTTTCAATATAAATTAATAACAAGTCAACTCTCTCTTTATGTATATGGTCGGATATGTCTTTGCGATGTAATTTTACACTGTAATTTTTCATTATCTAAGGCCGAAATGAATTTCATGCAATCATTTTAAAAATGATAGTAAAAATCAAATAAAAAGTTTCGAAATACTATTATTTATAATAGAATCCGTATATTTTTAAAACTGTATAGTTTCTTTGCGCGCTGAGTTTCGCTTTTAGCATTGTGGCTCAGTTTTGTCTATGCGGACCATGTGGGTTAAAGCTATATAGTTTTCTTTTCTTACATTGCTACCAGTTTGATTTTCTCCGGAAACAATAGAATGTCTATGACAATAGCTGATATTTACATTGTTCGTCGCGCATTACGTTACCAATACACATTTTCTTACCTTCACGACTGACATAATGAAACGGTAGTTCTCTGGCAAAATGCCAGAAAAGCAACTGGACGTGATTAAAAAAATCTTGACGCACGCTGTCACCAATATTTACCACTATTTTTCGTTAAATTATTCACTGTTGGCTCAAGAATATGCTCTACTTGGAAAAAACCCAGTAAAAGACAACATTTAAATGTATATAAAGCGAAATAAAGAGGTTTGAGTATTTTCAAACAATTTTTTGTGATTCTCGTCGCATGATAACACATTACGCATAAAATAAATAGCGAACGTCATGGGGTGAAGTACGAAGAAATAATTCCCAAGTTTCATTTGAGTCAATTCTTTTGCACAATTTTATTCGTTTTATGACACAGAAAGTAATGGCTACGGCAATTAATATTCTTCCTCAACCAAACATGGATGACTGTGTAAACGATTTGTTGATAGTGCGTCTTGTAGATGCGTCATCAGGTAGCGATGTTCATCAAATTAAAATGAAAAGCGGGCTGCTCAAAATCCACAATGTAAGATATTTCAACCAAAGCGTTCAAAGATTGAAAAGCGATTTAAAACCATGGATACCACTACCTTCTGAGGCAAGACAATCATGGTCTGAAATGCTGGGACAACCAGAAAGTAAGTCAGTCGAATTCAATGATATAGATGAATGTATCCGCTACATACAATTATTTCGCAAGAAAAGAATTATTCTTCTGATATTCAATGAACAGGCAAATGTTAACTATATTAAGTCAGCTATTGGAGATTTAGCAAACGTTATTGGAATCTACCGTTGTATCTCTCAAAGACAATATAAAAACAGAAGAAGTCGTTTATTTTCCAAGAACAAACACTCTGTACTGAGAAGGTTTGCGGAAATCGATGTTACCTCTCCTACTGAAACTCTTGATAAATCTCAGCAAGCAGTTCTGATGACAATTATCTTTCTCGACCTGATACAATATATTCCACAACGAAATAATGCAATGGATGATTTTATAAAATATTGTGAAGAGAAGTATCGAGGTGATAAAAAATATCCACAGTACATAGTAGAGATGGACGAGTTCAAAAGATCCTACCAGCGGAACGCAATACACTGGTTTTCAAGAAATAAGACTTTTCTTAACCGTATGGTTAGTAACACTTGTGCTGCTCTGGACTTTGATGCACTACCAAAAGTAAGCTTCTTTTTGCGCGATTTATATCAAGAATTGGAAAAGCAGCATACTGAACAAATACAATCTGGACGATTGCGATCAGGTTTGACAGTGTATCGTGGTGCCAAAATGATGGAAGAGGAATTGAACCAATTTCAACAAGGTGCTTTATTTGTAAATAGATGCTTCGTTTCTACTACTACAGAAAAAAATGTTATAGCTGGATTTGCAGGTGAAGGTAGCGGTTTGACTAATGGTCATTCAGTTTTTCTCACAATGAACATTGATTATATTGACATTCGAGACAAGCCAGTTGCACATATTGATCATATCAGTCAAATGTCGGACGAGAAAGAAGTGCTTTTGTGTATGGGAATTATTTTTCGCGTCAAATCATGCATACAAACTGGAAGCGGTCTGAACTCAAGATGGGAAATTGAAATGGTTCGCGGAGAAGAAGAAGTGAAACTTGAGAGACATGCAAGTCAATACCTCAACTCGATAGCAGATAGTGGTTTAAGCGTGTTTACCGCCATGCAATTTACAACAGATATCAAAGATCATCTCAAGTCAACTTCTCGAACATACCATGCACCACACACATCAACCGGAGAACATCAGTCGATCGCAGTTAATAACCATAACACGTCTGCGCAGGTGAGTTCATCACCCCTTGTTATATAAAAGAAACGATTTAGCTTTCATTGAAAGTGGTAAAAGAACATGTTAGTTTCATTTGAACCGGCTCTTTCCGTTTGCGTTTATGAATAGTAGTACACATACTGACTTTATACATTGAATCTATTATTTAGCAACTTGACAATGCACCAACGTCACGCGAGCTCACTGTGATGGAACATCTTCCTGATAATCCACACATCGCGATAGAAATTCCTGAACAACCACCTAGTTCACAGGTATGAATTTGATTATGAAATCTATTGTTTAAAAGTATTCAATTGTAGATAGTTTCCAGTGCTACCACGGGTATGACTTTCATTCAACAAGCCATAAACGTTTTTGCGATTTTAAATGTATTGGGAGCTGTTCCATTTTTCGTTCACGCTGTGAATGATCTCAGTAAGCTTCTTTTGATATGTAATTAAGAAATCTAAGCTTAGTGGATTTCTATCGTTTAAAACCATAGTCGGATAGAAAATTCTGACTACTTGACGTCAAAATCATTTTTATTCCAGCACGACATCAATTGCTTTATTGTCAAATTTAGAATCATCTGATGGACCACCGATATGTAAAGCAGTACCATCTGTCCAAAATCCATCGCCGAACTATCAAGTAGAACATCTTTACTTTTTCTGTTCTGAAACGCTGTCCAATATGACTATCATCCAAAAAGTTCAACGCACGTTTAATGAAACTCATGCTCAGCAATATCAAACATTTTGGAATCATTCAACAAATATGACGTATGTGGAAAATCCAACAGAGATTATTTACACTTGGTTTTCGCTACCTGGCATGTACATCGTCAAAGAAAGTTTTCCTCACTTCATCGAAGCGCAATTCTATTACACAGCTAATGCATCACGTATCCTAGGAAACGACACTTGGGAAATATGGGTTCAATTTATCAACGGACGACATTTTCATTTATCGGGCACTTTCTAAAAAGGATGACTTTTATGTATTGTTTCGTAAATAAAAGGGTTTCGTACATGTCGGATTATAGAAAAATAGTTACGATAGTTAAAAATTAGAATGTTAGATTATAATAGTTTTTGTATACCGTTCGTGTGGCAGATGAGTTTCTATCTAATTAATTGGTGAAGCTTTTCTTGCAATAATACAAGTAGTATATGTAATACATTTAATACATCTCTAAATTTCTAGATGAGAACAAAAAGAAATATTCTAACGAAGAAGAATACTTGATAAATATCGGTGGGAAGCTAGCACGACCAAACGATATGTTAGCTAAAAACTTCTTTACTAAATATATCCCGTACGTGAAAACTACACCATTCGACCCAGAATTAAATTCCGCATTAAATGGTGTAGTTTTCATGGACGGAGCATACTTAGTAAACAAGTTTTTAGCTAACATATTGTTTGTTCGTGCTAGCTTCACACTGATTTCTTTGCAAGGTTATTTTAGGATGCCAATAATTTTGTATACATTTCGCTGATAGACGCGGTTTTTTCTTAAAGACTGCAGTATCTAAAATAAACCGCGGCTAATCGCGGTACGGTACACTGCAGTATGGACTTACCAGGGTGGTCTCAAAAGGAAGCGCAACATGGTGCATTACCAAAAAGTGTGATGAGGTGTATATTAGTTGTGGTTTTCGAGAAGCGCCGTCTTTCATGATTTATATTTTGTAAATTTCTTATTATAAACTATGCTTTTCAGATTTTTAGAAAGATTCTTTTATTCTGAAATATTAGTCTTATAATCTCTCTCGATTTTTATTCTATTTTTATGATGATGATCTATGGCTTAAATTTCGATACATAAAACCATGATGTCGTACAAAAAAGATTGATTCGAATTAAATTTAGTGCTTTTTTTCTTAAGAATCGAAGAAAATTTTAACATGGTCATTTCAAAAGCGAAAAAGTAATATTTCTATATCACAGCCGACAGAACACTGTTAATTTATGAGAAGCTGAAACATTTTGAGAATGATGGCCAGAGAACGACGCAAAGATAGTGGTTAACTGTTCGAATTCGTAAACTTCTGCTAGAAATCTTTGTACAGTATTGTAAATTCTGTGTTTCTTCATTTCTCGATAAACAGAACTTTTACAAGTGGACTGCTAAACTATATAATTGAAGTGATTGTCACCTCTTGGTGATCTTTCTATGAGAAAGTTAACAAACAGACACTTTTAACTATTTAATCCACTGAGTTTGCACTTTGTAGAAAGCATGAACCCCAAATAAGACCCAGGTTATTATGGCACGGTCGGTTCCAGCCGGAAGTTCAAACGTAGGTTCCAGACATTGCCTGACCGTTTCCTGCAAACTTCGAGCTGGAAACGGTCAGGAACTGATCCGATATTTCTTGTGCAATTCCGGCGGCAAGGAACCTGCTGGAATCGGCGAAAACTGTGCCGGAATTGACTCAGATTTTAACAGCTCCAGTCGCCGGAATGATCGACCTGGGAATATGAAAACGACGAAAATGTTAAATCCATTTAGGCAAGAGAAGAAAATCGGATCCTAGATCCTCGAATTCTTATGTAGGACGTTTATAGCACGGACTCAACTCTTTCCTACTCGGATTTGCTAACATACCTTGAGGATGAGCGTGTGAGGAGAGTTTGGGGAACAGTTTTTTATGATTCTAATCAATAGAGTTCATCGGGTTCTACTCGGAAACAGTGACGCTAGAGTTCAAACACATATGTGAGCCAATCCGGAGTTTGGACAGAAAAAGGTTAAGTCCTTGTCCTTGACATTCAACATAGGTTCTTTTGAAATTTATTAGATTCTATAATCTGAATGAATTCACTTTTTCTTTTGATACAATGTTCAGCAAAAAATTATGAATCAGAAACTTTGAAGACGGTTTTTTGTGTTACGGCGTATTATGACCTTACAGGACTTTCTCATATATATATATATATATATAACGCTTTATTATATGCTATACGGGAACATCACTTCTGTAGCAGGAAAAAAAACCAAGCTTAACTATCTGTTCGATATTTGACACATGGAAGAGAGAGAAAAAAACAGACGTTACTGAGAGAAAATCAATTCAGATATATTTTTTCCAGAAAGTGATGTTTTGTTCGATTTAGTTTAAACATAGAACATGATCGAAGAGTGGCAATTTATGTTTTGTTATTCGATTTCGTATGTTCTTTGGAATTCTGCCTCTTTTGAATACCTGCTTTCGTTGCTTTGTTAACGTTGGATTCGTAAGTTATTCATTCAAGTAGATGTTTGACATCTTGTGCTGTAAGAAATCTTCGATCACACTGGCATTTGTTTCGAGAATCGTAAGCGTTAGTTTATCCTAATGTGTTCTTACTGATTCTTCGATTCTATAGTACTTTGGCAGGTTTTCAATTTGGTCAGTTCTTGCATCGTACCCTTGATGAATTATCCTAAATATTTTTCTGTTGAGTGCTTCCATTTGATTCTTTTTATCTTTCGAGAGTATTGGATAGATGTTTAAGATCGATTGGAAGTACGGCCTAATGAAGGCATTGTATAGACGATAGTTTACTTCTTCACACATCATACGACTAGATGCTAATCTTTTGAAAACGTTGATGCTTGTGCGTATTTTTGATCTGATGGAGTCCAGATATGGTGAGAAGGATAGATTTGCGTCTATTATTGTGCCTAAGTATTTGATTTGTTTCACACGTTCGATTATATGACCTCTACATCTAATAACAGGTATCTCACGAGCACCCTTACGATTGTAAAGTGTCCAGAACGTTTTTTCATAGTTGATAGGTGGTTTCCATTTCTTAGAATATTTAATTAGACAAACTAGCACTTGTTTTAATTGTTCAATCATCGATTCAATCATGTTTATCGATGATAATGCAGATGACGGAGCAATTAGTATGGCCAGATCATCGGCGTACAGATGTTTCCAATGAATTGTTGATAGTGCTTCCAGTATATCATAATGATAGACAATGGACAACACCGGCGCCACACAACTTCCTTGAGGAACTCCCTTTGATAAGTTGAAAGTGATGGACGATGTTTCTTCAATACCAATGTAAGCTTTCCTTTCTTTGAGATAATGTCGCAGCCATTGCATTAGGTAGAGTGGACAATTTAGTTTCGTTAGTTTCAACCAGAGACCATTGAACCACAGTTGGTTGAAAGCGGAACTAAAATCCACAAAAAGTGCAGCAGCTGCTGTATTCATTGATAAACTTTGTCTGATTTGATCGATCATTGATACAAGACGAGCTGCCACGTTATGCTTTGGCCTAAAACCAGTTCGTTCTTGAGGTAGAATGCCTGCATCTTTAATCCAAATTTGGAAATGAGAGAGAAAGTATTTTTCGAACAGTTTAGAAAAAGATCGAAGTAATGAGATTGGTCTCGTTTTATCGACCGATATAGTTTTTGATTGACTTTCTCATATAAAAGCAATAATAAATAAAAAAAACACTTAATCAGAGGATTAACTGCGATTATGAATTCTGTAGGCGAAATTACATGAGGAAAAACTCAAGAGTTTTCATTCTCAATTATTACAATGAGTCCTTCCTTGGAAAAAAATTGTTCTCAACTAAATCATTGACCCTAACCAAAATTAAGAAAAATTCCGAAAATCTTTCCATAGTTGATCAGATAAAAAGAAGTGGACTATGCAATTTTAAACTCTTAACACTAAAAACATGACAAAGTGGAATTTAAATTACAACAGTAATTAATACTTTAAATAAAAGTATTCGAATAAATCGATAATCTTTTGAACGCATTCTTTTACTTCTTATGTTGTGATCGTGCGGAGCAACATTATTAGTCTTTCTAAGGGAGTGGCTCCCTTCATATCGCTTGTAACTGCACACATCTTTTGGATAATTAAGAAGTCTTTCTGTTCATTTTTTGTTAGTAATACAAGTATAATTTTTTCAATTTTACTGTACATACTATTGGTTAGCTGTACTTTTCATATACATACTCGCTTATATTCAATATTCACTTCTTTTAGTGTTAGGTATAGCTACAGAACATATTTTTTTCTGTCGTGTAGTTGTTGATTATATCATCATTGTGTCTTTATATGTAGTATTGAAAAACAAATAAATGCACTTCGTATCAGAAAACATTTTCTCTTAAATAAAATTAAGAAAAACTTAACAGCAATTTGACTATATATTAATCTTTCAGTCGAGGATAAAGCGAGTTAGCTTCGACGAGCGTTATTTTTTTTAATAGTTAGTTTTGTCTATTTAATAAAACCTTTATTAATAAAATAATACAAAAAATAGTAGAATTTAATGTTGACAACAGAAATTACAAGAAATCAAACTATACTTTGTATTATTTTAAAAATCTAAATGAACTTTTTTCAGATTTTCTTGTATAATACTGTAATTGAACTCATTGTATTAACAGTCCAATCTGTACTATATTTCTCAATGAATGCTCCATTCAATCCTGACACCTTATAAAACTGTGAGCTACCTATAATATCTAAATTAAATTCAGCTGTCCATTGACCACTTGTCGTACCACCAAATTGTTGTGTACAGTCAGTTGCTGAAAAGCAAAATTGTAATGCGTCAATCCAAGCACCAGATTGTACTCTTAAAACTCTTAGTTCCTTATTGACCAGACTGAATGAACCTTTGTTTCCAATTTTAAATCCAAAAAAGCGAACAGTATTGTCTGTGTAGGTAAATTCCAAACCATGAACGTAATTGTCATGATAAACACCTATTGCTAGAAGTCTAACGTTATTATTTACGGTGAAATCAACATTAAACTCAATTTGATTCCCATAGACTGGACCGAATCGTTTTGATTTAAATACATTAGCTGTAATAAGTCCATTACTGACTTCACTAAATATGTTCCCCAAATCTACCATTCTACCATTTTTGAGAATCACCAGCAAATTTATTACCTTGTTATTGATCTTGTAGTTCATTAACTCTGTGCTTGTACTCATGTCAACATCAACCTTTTTCAATGCTGGTTCATACGTCAAATAATATGGATATTTTGCGTCATCGTTGCTATAAAATGCAAGCATCCTAATACCTACGTTTGCATAAAGAAGAAAACTATTTGAAGATGTTGTAAATAGTTGTACATTTTTATCCACCATATCAATGATTGGATCATTTTTTAATCGAAATAAATGATGTGGTAACATTATTTCTGCATCTACTTTACTCCAACTTGCATATTGATCATTAACATTTGTTATAAGCGAGGTCCATACATTATCTAAAATAATAGTAAATCGATTAATCGAGAAAACTATTTAAGAAAAATGATTATTTTACTTGTCGATAGTTCAACTGAATAAAAGGCACGATTGAAATCGTCAAATCCTCTGAGCATAACACCATAATTGTGATCTAACAAAGATTATGTTAATCTTATGTAATAAATCAAAGTAAACTTATTCTGCTTACGTAAACCAAACGAATGACCAAGTTCGTGTAAAAATGCTCCAATTCCTACATTGCATACTCTTGCTCTATAATCGCCTCCGTCGTTTGAAGTATATTTTTTATTGACTGGACGTATATCATTGAATTTACTCTTCATTTCTTTTAAACTTTGTGGATGAGAATACAGCAAGTGTGATCCAAATATACCATAATTATAATCCATATTCCAACCCGAGCCTAAAGCAGCGTGACCAGCAGCTCTGTCTTCATTTGCTATATAATGTGAATCAAGAAACAAACATGTAAACTGTAATGGCAAATTTTGTGGCCTAATGAATTTTGTTGGATTGTTTATAACAACATTTCTACACATGCCAAACAAATCTGATTCCTTGGCTTGAATTTGTGCTGTAGTCATATCAGATTGTAATACATGGATTTTTGGATCTAAAAGAAAATAAATCTATATCCTACAATCACTTCTAAATAGAAACTATTCGATTGCTTACAATATTCTTCATTTATAAGTTCACTTTCGTCCAATCTAAAGCAACGATGACCAGAAATATTATTTCGCTTATAAATTTGATCATCTGTAAACGCTTGCCAGAGCCATGCCATTGTTCGATACTTCCATTTAGCTGATTCTAAATTATTTACTTCACCTGGTTCCGTATCATAAACTAATTTACTGTCCTTCGCAACAACCATAACCAAGTGTACAGGTTCAACTGTCAAGTCCTCTTCGTAGACTAAATTTATCGTCAAACTACATTTCGCTCCTTGGTTTGAAGTTTCCTTTAAAAAAATTTAATAATGGATATACTAAAAGAAAAAAAATATCAAAATGTATAGTACATCGTAAGTCATGGTGATTTTGTTAGTTCCCTTCTCAAGCTTTATTAAGCCTTTGAATTGATTAAAGATGTTGACAGGCCATTGGGTATCGATTTTATTTGCATAGTTGATTGAGTTTGCATTATTCACATGAATGTTACGTATTGTGTTCTGCCCATCATTAGTAATGATCTCGCCATTAAATATTACAGTTTTATGATTGAATACTTCATTGTCTTTCATATTTGTCAACGAAATTGTGCAATGTTTTTGCGTTGAATCGATCAATTGATACGACACACTTAATATATTTAAAGTATTAACGGTCCAATATGCACTATATTTCTCAATATATGCTCCACTTAATGCAACAATTTTATAATTTTGATTTGTTAAATTATTTAAATTGAATTCAACGATTTCACCACCTGCAGTACCACCAAAATGTTGTGTACAATCAGTTGCTGAAAAACAAAATTGTATCGAATCGATCCAAGCGCCAAATTTTACTCTCAGAATTCTTATCTCTTTGTTTATCAAGCTAACTGTGCTTTTAGTGCCTAATTTGTATCCAACAGAATTTACAGTATTATCTGTATATGTGAATTCCAAACCATGAACATATATATCATGATAAATACTGATTGATTTGAGTTTTTCATTTTGAGTGTTTGTGAAATCGATAGTAAAAGGAACTTGATCCGCTTGAACTGAACCAAAGTTTTGTGATTTCAATATTTGTGTTGCTGATACACTATTTACTATTGCTATGAAGCTGCACAGATAAAGAACATATGAACAGCGCATCGTTGTTTTTATCTAAAATATATAATGTGTTTATTATGGATAACTGTGCAACAAATATATACTATTGATCGATAAGTTATATAATTACATTTTGTTTTTATGTTCTGCACAGAGCTCCGCGTGGGATGGAATGGGACGAAAAAAACCGTCCCGTGGGATAATTTTTTCTTCGTGCATCCCATGGGATGGGATGAGTAGCTGTCTAATTCGACTTATAATATAAGTGGCCTATTCCTAGCACACTACAATCCCTGTCTATATAGGAACAGCAATAGATTTTGTTTGACTTATACCTATATACACCTATACACTCACCCTCACACCCATTGTGGCACCCTCAATCGAGACATACGGGTGTGTATAGGTATAAGTGAAACTAAATCTATTTATATTCCTATCTAGTCACTTGTTATAAGCCTAATATACTCTGTAAAAAAAATCGAGTCATGGTGAACCTTTTTTCGGTACCATTTTCAGAACCTTTTTGGTTTTAGACGCTAGCTAAAACCTTTTATGGTTCAGTATCGCCCGGGTTATTTTAGACAGCATTTAAATAAAAAATTTAATCAAAAAAATTTAAATACTTGAGACTTACCGTTTCTAATTACGTTATAAATGTAACAAAGTCAGAAGCGTGTTTTGTATTGCATTGTAAAACTTAGTTTTTTTTTGTTAGAGTGATCGAAAACAAAAAAATACTTTCCTTTATACAGGCACACTTTATCCAAGATTTGTTTTTTTGCATGGTATTCTAGAAAGAAAGTGAATGTATTAATATTTAATACGTCATGTTTATCCCTCTGCGATATATTGATGAAGGCTTAACTCATCAGTCGGATGCTTTTTTTCTTTTCACAACTGATATTCGATACGCCACATTTATCACATCTGTAATATATTGATCAAACGTTATACTCTAAAAAAGAGATATTCTACGAAAGTAAAATAGTTTTTCCCCCCGATACAGAAGAAGAACCTGTTTTGGTTCTGTAGAAATGCATTTTTTCCACCGAACTTTTCCGAAATAATTGAAATGAGGATTTCGCACAAAGTACTTTGCGTTACGCTTTTTACCTGTTGAATAAAATGGTTTTGCGCATAATCAACACTCCATTCCATTTAAGGGTCAATTTAATGATGATTTTCG